ATTCACAAAAATTTTTACATCCACGGTGCAAAAATAAGCTTTCAATTTTTAAAACAGTCAGTTGTATGTCAACTTCAATCATCTGCATAAAAAACTAAGTTTTGTTATACCCTTTTAAGATAAATTTTGACATTGATTTAATGGGTATTAAAGGGCTACTGCAATGAAAATATCGACCCAGATTTTATTTGATTTTCTGAAAATTCAGTATTTTCTGAGTGCAATGGTATCTTTCTCGTCGACCTTTTCATTTTTCTTATGGATTTTATTGCCTTTTGAAAGTGGGCAGGTCGTGCGAAAAAAACGCGCCATGTGTGACGTCACAATTATGATCACCTCGATTAACTTCATATACAAACCACTGATAAATTCTGACCGGTCTGGTGGATAAGGTGCTGATTTTTTCGTATATAAAGTATTTCCACCAAAAAGATGTCAGAAAGTAATACTAGTGACCATGAAAGTATTTCGACAGCGGGTATTTCTTCGGAAACCTCGGATGAAGAGAATTACGGGGTTGTTCTTCTGGGAGCTGCTGCTCCTTATCAAGACGAGCCGTTGGCTAGGCCAGGGGGAGGACAACAAGACAACAGGGATGACAAAGATGGTCTTTCTCGTGAAACGTTGGCAGCTCGTTACGAAGGCCGTCATTTTGTTGAAGAATGGTAAGTTTTGGCTTTATATTTTCGTTTCCAATTTAACTTATGGCACATACGGGCAGTAGAGGGAGATTCTTCAATCTGTTTGGGTGGCGTCAGTTCTGTTGATTTGGTTTCGTTCGCGAGTTTTCTGGTGATGCAAAAGCGTTTTTCTTAGTTAACAACAACAAAATAGTCCTGTTTTTATTACAACTGGTAGGTGCCGTTGTGGAGAATGTCATATCGACTTATTAACTGGTTCGTTGGAGTACCGATGTTGCCGGGAAGTCCAAGAGGCGATCGAGAAACTGGTGGGCGTTGCAGAAGACACCCGATGTATCACAGCGTTTGAGGGTTACAAGTCAATGACATGTAATGTGGTTCTGACAAATGTGAGCCCGTTACTCAAGGGGAGAGACGGGAAGAAATACAAGAAAAGAGCCGATCAGAGCGAGAATGGGTAATAACCAGTTTCACCATTTTTATTCACATTTCAACCAGGGGTAAGGTAAGGGGTAAGGTTAAATTTATTTCATATCACAAATAATACCATCAAATCACTGTCAAATTATTAGCAAACACAATAAAGGATCACAACTTATCAGGCTATTGCAGTTTCTAAAAACTTCTTTAGGCAAACTCAAATAGTAAGATTTCGCAAGTTATTAAACTCAATGAGCGTTAGAATCAAACCCAGGTTCACTTAATTAATACAGAATTTCATTTTAGGTTCATGAGGGCTGTTGGCTACAGATGGGTTGCAAGATACCTGTTTGGTTACCTAGGATGGAGCAACACTCGCCCATTGCCTGCATGCATTTACAATGATTTAAGATCGCGATATCCAACAAATCAATCCAAAGGTTACATGTCATCTCTGGAACGGGTTTGAATATAATATTGAAAAAAGTCAGCTGTTATTCTTTGAAAAATTTTAACTTGGTAAAGGAAGTTTAAGGTTTCTTTTCCACAAAAGGGAACTAATAATTAGAACATCTATTTGAAAGGTAGAAATGATATGGTTTTCTTAAACTTTTTTCACTATGTTCAAATCTGAGTGTATAAGCATACCAAAATCAAACAAGCAAACAGGTTATCAAGATAAAGCAGGTGAAGGACATTTTCCTCGTGGATGACCCTTCATGGGTTGATGACATTTGCGACAAGTGCGTGTGCAGTGTTCCTTTTTGCTATTCATCTGTTGCTGCTCATCCTCTTTAAGTTTGTATTGCTGGTTTGCTGTAAACATATTGTTAAAATTATTGCATCCATGTTTTCTAGGCTACTATGCAAGGTTCTATGTTTATTACCCCTATAAAGAGTTATGCTCCAAATGTCACAATAATATTTAACTTTCAAATGTACAAAGTTGTTGTTTAATTATATATATTTTTTGTTATTATTCATGGACATGCAACACGCTAAACTATATTTACTGTATGTTTATTGCATGTTATCTATTTAATTCCTATAAAAATGAACACTGGTATCAATACAATCAGGTTTGGTAAAAACAATTTCTATACCATCTGGGAAAAGTGTCGTTGCTGTCTGTTTTCTTTGAAGGTGGTGTCCGATAGCTTCTGCCTTTGATTTTTTCCTTTCAAATTGCCTGTCTAACGGTTCAGGCTCATGTTCTTTGCTTAGGTCAAAGATGTATTTCATTTCTTTCAATGTGCTGGAGAGCATTGTATTCTTGATATCACACACATATCCTGTCATGTAAAGGAGTATATATGTATGATATTATATTACAGAATACATACAGTTTGAGACAATTAGACATTCAACAATTAGAAATACAATGATCACAATTTCCCAATGTTCTGCTTACTATATGTTGGTGGAACAGCTACTTCTTTAACTACTTCTTCTCCAAGCTTGAATTTTGGGTACACAACATTGTATTGAAGTGAACCATCTTGCAATTGGTTTTGCTGTCTCAAAACATTCTCATTGAAATGACAAATGGCAAGAATATGCCTGAAATGACAAATGACAAGCTATCAAATTAGATATTTCACTGATATTCAAAGAATTATATGACTCAAAAGTAAATACATATGAAGGAATAGAAGAATACACAGAAGAACAATTTTTCCAAATATGTTCAAATATCCAGCTCTGTTTTTAGGTAGATTATTCAAGTGACATTCTTGTGATTTTTTCCTTGAATGACAATGAAAATGAAAAAATTGATAGGGACTTTGAAATTTATGAGGAATAGTTGACATATTTCATTTATACCTGCACTTTGTACCAAGCCAAGAAAAGTGTGTCATTTTTGGGTGCCATTGGTTCAAGAGGGAATGGAATGCTTCCAGACAGCTGGTTTGTGCATCACTTGAAAGTTTGCGTACATCCTCAATTACTTGATGGTTCAGAATGATTGTTTTCAGACGGTCATATGGCTGAGTTCCTGTGGAGAATTAGAAAACATTTGGTAAATGTTGTCTAAATTTCATTTATTTGCAATATAATTAACTAGTGTGTGCATAAAACACTTAGAAGTTCCTTTAATTAAAATTAAACATTCCAAGAACCTTTTCAAAAAAGAAATGTTTGCAAAAAAGATTAATATATAAACATACCAACATAAATCCAATCCCGTGCCTCTAGTTCATCATGAGCACATTCCTTGTAAATTTCATTAGGATGATTATCATGCTTGTCGGCAACGTGCCTGATCAATGACGCCCACTTTGCAACAATGAGATTACCAAAGCCTTGCTGTGTTGAAGTGGCCGACCAGTACAGGTGCTTCTTTATTGCCTTCATCCAACGTAATAAAATTTCGTTCCCTTTCTCCTGTCCCACAGTTCTAATCTTCTTAGAAATGCCTTTGCAGACATGCCAAAGATCATAGAAATGTGTTGTTTGTGGTTCACATTCACGAATCCATTTGGCAATGGTTCTGTGGCGGTCACTGACAAATATGGATATGTTTAAATTGTTATCCTTGATAAACTTGAATGCACGCTGTGCCCCGACTGGCTCCATGTTGTTACTACTACCAGCTTGGTTTGACTGGAATTAAATAGGATTCAAACTTAATTATTCTTATCAACTTCATTAAAAAGTGGTGACAACTAAATCTTAGAATTTTATCATTATACCACATTCAAAATATAAATAGATGCAAATGAGAAATATATATGCATGGGGCTGAAATGGTGGCACAGATAATTTTTTTTAATGAATAATCATTTGCCAAATGTTTACTGTCATTCTTAGAGTTTTCATTTGACTACTCAATTAAAGCTTTTTAGAAGAAAAACTAGAGGTAGAGTGACAATGGCTGGTTTGTACAAACCTGTAACAGTTCAAAATGGACCAATTTTGAGATGCTATTGCAAAACATAGTATACGTTCCATATTTGGCATTATGTCCCATGGAATCAAATCGTCCATCGCCTGACCATGTTACGTCGTTGAGATTTTGCAATCTTTTGATCAGATCACTTTGGTACTTTTTCCATTGCATGGTTACAGAAGGAAACAGCAACTTGCTCTGATGGTAAAAGTATGTCCTTGGAGAAATGGCAGACAAACCCATATGCTTGAAAGCAAGAAGTATTTGGCTAATTTGAACTCCAGACATAAGAATACCAAAGCTCATCATCACATTTCCCGCAGGATACTTCCCAAAAATAAATGGCTGGCTGTGCCATTTGTAAACCTTGCCACAGGTAAGACAGTCCTGCACAACTGTTACCATTGAGCCTCTTGCCAGCACTTGAACTTTTGGTTGTTCATGTTTGCAATTAAAACAGAATAGGCTGAATATTTGCACAAGCATGCTGTAGAAAACAACAAATTTTGGTTCATCCGCAGGCCCTGTGTCACTGTCAACCCTAGAATAAAAATATCATAAAATTACCTTTTACCCTGTTTTTAGACAAGAATTGTAGTTCATTGTATTTGATAATATGCTGATATGATAAATGAAAAATTAGATGTAAACTGAAAGAAAAGTGAATCTTGGGAAGTTAATCTACTTACCAAACTATGTTATTTTTTGATTCATCAAACTCTTTATCGTCATCAGTATCATCAACATCCTCATCATTCTCATCATCTGTAGAAAGAGCTGAAGTTTCTAATTCATGGTAATCCATATCCTCCATGTTAATGTCTTCTGTGTCATCCATGCATGCCTCATCATAATAATCTTCTTCCTCATGCTATATGTAACAGACATTTTAATTTTTTCACATTTTATATACAGTTGTTAATGATGTGGGTACAATTAAATAATTGTCCACTTCTTGTAAATGGCAACTGGTGCAGTCCTAGCACTTTATAAAATCTGAAAAGTGTCCAGTTACAAAAAACAAAAATCAAAGATATGATGACAGGAACCTCAGAAGGGGGGTTAGGGGGGCTTTACCCCCATCCCCCAATAATTTCCAAAATGTACCTCAAACTATACAAAAATGCCTTGATCTTGGTTTTTTGCATGTTTAGCCCCCCAACAAGGTTTTAGCCCCCTCAATCTGAAATATGCTCCATGGGCCTTGTATGCTGGAGCATCTTACCCCCTTCTCCTTGATAGTTGATAGTTTATGAGTATGCATTTAAATTACAGATACATCCAATTAAAACTGGAAAGAGAGAGAGGTGAAATGTTTTAAGTAAAGTACAAAAGTTGTGCTAAAGGGTAATTCTATATTCAATGGCACCTCTGCTTTGAGGTTCAGATTGCGATCCCTTCATTATGTCTAGCATTACAGGCCTACCTCAGCGTCGTCGTTTGAGATGTCAGCAGCCAGTTTATTTTCTTTCATTTTCTTTCTCAGCCGCCACATTGCTTTGCGCGAATTTAGTAACTTTTTTTTCAAAACACTGCAGCCTTGACACACATAGATTGAAGAAGTGGGCGGGGCAGGGACTTCGTCGTTATCACTACTAGCGTCTGTTGCCAATGAATCCTTACTCGCGTCTGTTGTTGCTAATGAATGCCGTAGTATCTTGAATAAAAAATTAGGAATTTTAAAATTTAATCTAACTTTGATTTAACTCTCTATAATTCAGTTGAACAATACTTTGGCCAAACAACCATTGAAAAAAACCGAGTAGAGTTTGTTTACATTTGCAAATGAATGAGTCTCACCTGTCTGGTACTCCGAGCAGAGGCCTCTTCGCTACTTTTTTCAACAGAATTCGCGATGTCGACGGTAGGAACAGCGTCAAACTTTAATTTGTTCCTTATGCCAAGTTCTTTTGCGATATCTTTATTCATCGCGAAGCAGTTATCTTCAAAATGAACTGAGCAGAGGATCGATGATGACGAAGGGTGCCACTTCGGCCTGTGCCGGCGAACAAAGCTTACCCACTTCCAGTACCTTCCCAAATCCGAATTTTTATCAGGAAAAGTGTGTATAGAAACCCCTTCCATAAACTGTGTGTTTTTGCAGCTCTGGCCTCCAGGTCCTCCTGCAACACAAGATCTTCCGCCGCGTTTTGTACTAGGTTTCGTGTTCCCGCTATTAGACGCCATTGCGATATCTCTGCTTGATCATAACTGTGACGTCACAGAAGGACAATTTTTTTCGCACGAAAACTATCAAAATTGCGAACTTTGAGGCACCATAACTTTAAACTGAGAAACCATATAGAGGTTCTGTTTTCAGTTTTGTACTCAGCTGATTGTCAATAATTGAAAAAGGAAATAAAATTTTGGACCATTTTTTCATTGCAGTAGCCCTTTAATGGTACGGCTTTATATATATTACTCCATGTAAGCATTCCATGGAATTTCTCAAGCCATTTCTTTACATCGATTAAAGTTAGCGAATTATAAAGAGGATTGATCTAGCGCTGCTCTTGTTTAGCAAATCAAGGGCAGACTCTGGCACGAAAAAATAGTGAAAATTTTCCATTTTAGTTGCTTTTGAGAGTGGAACAAATTTTTTTCTTTTTTCGGTGTTCTTAAAATTTCTACAATGGGTCAACTAAGCGAGTGACGTAATAAGAGCCATAGTGTTTCTACATCGAAAAAACATTATTATTATTGTCAATTGTTTTTTCAACTTACTTATTATAACATGCTGTCAAATATGGATATGCGCACACGAGACGTACACATCAAAGACATGGAGATCATCTACTGGAGGGCATTATTAAAATGAAATAAACTGCAAAATTCTAAAACTGCAACTTAATGTGGAACCAAATAATTTCATATTGAGTGAAGAGTCGGATGCTTGAGAGCTTTACCTTCGAAAAGGGGTCTAAAGCATTTGCCTTTAGTTAAATCCACAACAAAACTTAAAACTTATTGCTTAACTCCATCAAACAGGCAGTTAAATGGGGCCGATTCAGTCCACGCAGAATATTTTCATGAATAGAAGAACCCCAAAAACTATGCTTTAGTTTCTTGATTGATACTGCCCAGTGAAATTCCTATCCTATTTTGCAACAAGCAACGAGAAAGTCCCCAAAATGAATCCGTTAGTTCGGTTAGTCACCGTTATTTCCAATTGTATTCTTAAAAAGTATGACGGGTATGAAGCAGAAGTACTTTTGAAAGCAGCTTGCAGCACGAATGACCAATTATTAATTTTGCTCGCTATAAATTAAACTTCGAACTTTTATGTACGGAGAATAATTAGGTGTTACGGCAGAATATTTAAAGCATTTGCTTCAGATAAAATATTTGAAGTGCCTTTTTGCATTGAAACAGTTGAAAAGAAAATATGCCCTTTAAAACAGCGAGTGGATACACGCCCGGTGGATACAAGCTTTGCTTTTGAACAAAGGTACTTTTGCTACTTGAAAATAATCATGCTTTAATACTTTGTTGAAAGTAAGGGGTTACGAACATAGATTGAAGCATAAAGGCTTTTGAATTTTCCAAAAATTTCCAAACTGAATTTTGCTTAAAAAGTTGGCTGTACGTATAGAGACGTTCCAAGAAGCCACGGTTACTTGAGAAGGTTTCTTTATAGCATATGTGACTTGAATATAGTAGACATTGTATGTAAGATATGGAACTTTTAATTAAACCTATCGTTGATATTCAAAACTTTACCCTGTCTTCTTTTAATCATTTTTAAAATTGGCAATTCAAATATATTTATTCAAATTTATTTAAAATCAATATACTAAGGCCAATTGTAGAGCGGTTTAATAGCTAGAGTTTTAACGTGTATCACAAAGTTTTAGATTTATTAAATTGATCAACAAGAATCGTTATACTTTGAAAATTTAGCAGTTTCCGTCGAAGAAAATTTGCAAAGAAAACAGGTTAAATCAAAGGTCTTTTATTTTCTTAGGAAAAGTTACTCAAACTTTTACTTTTTTATTAGACATCGATATCTCTATATCAAACAATAATTGCATAAAAAAGAAAGGGTGCCATTTTTTAGCTTTTCTGGATTTCCAACGATCGCGTAGAAGAAGAAAAGCGTCGAAGCGAACAAAAGAGTACATTCATATCAGGAAAAAAGAAAACATGAAATGAGAGACTAAATTCGGAGTGTTCCAAGAACTTTAGATGAGTAGAGAAAGCTGAAGGGCTTAAGCAATAAAAGGCTCAAGAAAATGGCCGCCCAACACAACTCTAACTTCGGTACAGGCAACATCTAAGACACACCCACAAAAACTTGCTAATTCTCGGCATAAATTGGGAAAATATTCTCCGTTACTGAAATAAAGCTACTAACAAACTAATTTATAATTAATGACAAGTTCTATTGAAAATATGTCCTCTCGATACCATTTATAATTTAACTACGATAATTAAGGTGCTTAAAATTGAGTTAACGAAAAGAGAAATATTTCTATTTGTTTGAATGATTTTGAGCAGCCTTGAGCAGCTCACTCATTACGTCATAGACTAAATTTGTCTCGTTTGAGTTGTGAAGTTTTCTTTGTTTTGCATAAGCATCCAAAGTGGATTTGATTAGGGTCAAAACCTCATTTTCACCCTGGTGAGAGTCCAGCCATGAAGAGTATTCTGATAATGTCCATCCAGCAACCTTAAATTGCACAAAGCAATCATATGAGGGAAAACTTTCTCGTGATAAAAAGCGGGAAGCTAATTGGAACTCAAAACGATCAGCAAAGCATCAAAGGTAGTCTTGCCACTTATGTTGGACAAAACAAAAGGGTACTTTTAACAATAACAACCACGTGTCTTTACTTGCTAAAACCACCACCGTACGATCGAGAAAAAAAATAGTTTTCCACAGTTGGAAGGAAAAAGCAGTAAAATGTATGTCATCAATTCCTGGCAAAAAAATAGGCTATACGCTTGGAGAAATGGCAACTTGAGTAAAAAACATGTGCATGGCAGGATTTAGATTGGCCTGAAACTGGAGATTTTACATAAAAAAGACAAGAGCACATGTAAAAAACTTCGCAGTGTATAAAATGTAATAACTTACTATGTGGGGAGGTCTCAAATCCAAAGGTGCTTTCGAAAAGAGGAAATGCAGGACAACAGTATATGGAAGTGCTTCACCAAGAGCTGGGTTGCTTTGTATCTCGTCCAAGGACTGAAACAGCAACGGCCTAAAACAAATCTTTTTCAGTTTAGCACGAATTTAAAAACCAATACTCAAGCCCAATATGCTAGACTTAACTTCTTGAAATAAACTCAATACACGACAGCTACTCTAAGCTTCATATTCATCAGCAGGGTAGCCTTACTTTGTCGGCGTCGATAAAAAAACGGTTTGCCATTAAATGTGCAGACGTTTCTGTGTACTAAATGCAATGTGTAGTCAATGATTCTGTGTGAGCTAGAGTATTTTTTCTCGCGTACTCCCTGCAGAATAAACATAGTTGCACACACTTCAGTATGCTGAACAGAACGGTCCTAAGTTGCAAGCCTTACACATTAAACGATACATTGATAAAGATATTATAATCTTTTAAAGTTTAGCAGTTAAACAAACATGGCAACACTTAGATGAGGCTTTGCACAAAAACAAGCATAACTTACTAGGAAACTGAAAAACATGCATCGCAAGAAAAGGCAGAATAAGCATTTCAGGAAAAAATTAATGCTTTTTGATGTTACGAAAAGTCGCTCGCGTAAATGAATATTCTGCACACATGCTGCGATGGCCTCAAACATCGAGAAAGAAATGGCTAACGAGTTTGATTATTCGATTGCTGTGTGAAAACCTTAACTGCATGCTGGTAAATGGAAATTGCACGAAAAAGCAATGCAAGTTTTTTCCTCTAGAGAGTTTTTGAATAGAATCTCTGAATTCTCAAAAGGCATTAAAGCCTCTTGTGCAACCGGCATGCTTAGCGGTAGTTGTCTTGAGAAATTGACTTTATTTGTATTTTCATGCAGTATGATATCTTGGGCCGGCTCTTTGAAATATAGTCACAAAGCATGCCGGCTACGAAGGAGCCCTTAACAAAGTAGAAGAATTCGACGCGATATGTCGCGAGCACCACAACTAATATATCGTAGAATTGAAGCCTTTCATGTTTAGACGGCAATATTTTTGCGCGAAAACAAAATAGCTGGTGAAAAAAGTTGTTTGTGCAACAGTCTACTGCATGAACAAAAACACAAGCGAAAAAAATTGAAGAAACTTCTGGAAAATTCCGACAAAGGGGTTACTTACAAATAAAGTTAAACGACAGCATTGGGTGAGAAAAGAACTTTCAGATGAGGCATTATCATGCCTTGATATCAGGAAATAGGGGTCTTGTCTAGAAATGATAACATTTGAACAAGCTCTTCGTTCGATTGATGCTTCATTTCTATTAGAGATTAACTGTGCAAATTTAACTGAAATCGCTAACAACTAGTTTAGAGAAGGCTAATTAAATTTAAAATTTAAAACACTAGCTAAAAAATAAGCATTCCAAATGACGTCACACTTACCTGAATGCCCTCAGCATTTTGTAGGCAGCGCCTAGATCTGATATTCTTTTGCAAAATGGGGATACAGCAAGCTCCAGCTAAAAATAAATTTAGTTACTATATACCAGTAAAAAAAGAAGAGCGAAAATGATAGTCTTCCTTCAAAACTTCTCAATGCACAAGAAGATCCATGCAAAATGCGGACAAAAACAATCTAAAATTTGTAAGATGAATTGCACTAAAATCTAAATATTACTACAATAAATTGTACTCAAAAGAGCTTGACTAAGAGCCCTAAGCCCAGTCCCATCATATCAACTAAACTATGAAACAAGAGCAACACTGTATAGACATCAAAGTATAAAGACAGACCTTTGAATACACGTCGAGGGGCAATAGGCACCGACGCCCCCTAAAAATCAAATATTTGCCAAAAGTGTAAAGACATCAAAGTACAAAGACAGACTTTTGCATACACGACAAAGAGCAAGGGGCACCGACGCCCCTGAAAATCATATTTGCCAACAGTGGATGGACATCAAAATACAAAGACAGACTTTCGAATACACGACGAGGGGCAAGAGGCACCGACGCCCCTGAAAATTATATTTGCCAACAGCGTTGATGTTCAGAATCGTTTCAAGAAATTCTCAAAAAAATTCTTTCTGACTATCGATTATCAGAGCTTTGATATAGCGGTTCCGTCCTCTGCAATCATTTACAATAGCAAGTTCATTAATAGTCATTGAATGGGAGAGAAAGGTTTTGAGTATCTAGAATTTTAAATGGGAAACTGCTGACGTTTCAAAAAAGACCCTTTAACGTAAGTTTCATCCCATAATTGACTAGATTGAATTATTTCATTGGCGGCTTTGTTTTAAATTACAAATGGGATCGCAGTTAGGGTGTTGTCTCACCCTGCTAACACTTCTTAAACTGCTTAAAATCATTTGAGAAATAATCCCCGCAACGGTACCACCATTTGGAGCTTCTAAAGACTCTCGTTATGACACAATCCACTTATGAGGGCAACTTGCGTCAAAGGGAATTTGGCCACAGAAGTGCCGCACACTGACAGGTGGACTAAATACCAGCATAAAAACACAAAAGTAACTTGCTGATGGCCCCTTAACAGAGACCTAAGTACGTCTAACAACAGTTTTTCAATTCCGCAAATAGTTTAAGCAATGTGCTTATCTAGCAACAACCAACGTTGAATGAAGTCTAGACAAGGTAAAAATGAGACTATGTATTCAGTACACATTAGACCTATATGGACAGGTTGACGCCCTTTAACCACTACTTCAATAGGAGTACGAGTGCATCTATATCATAGGGATGCATTGTCAAGAGGGCAGAAAAGAAAGAAACGAATTCACTAAAATGGCAGGCAGGAGAAGTTTGTACCTAATACTAAGACACTTCTTGTTTGTTTACGTATCAGGCCTTCGGTAGCGGTCGGGCATGGCAATGCTGACTACTCTAGTGTCTCTTATTAGCACCCCCCCCCCCCTCCTTCTATTAAATTTTACAAATCTGTCATGACCAGAACAGGCAATTTTCACTTGTCAATAATTCCCTTTGTTATGTTATGTAGTTATTTTTTAATTTTCATAATTCACCTTCTTATGTTTGTCTATCTTTATCTCTAACCATCTATCCATTATCAAGTAACCAGTGTCACCATCCTACTAATTCCACTGCCTTTTAATTAAAAGATTTACCAACATCCACTCCTTCTATTAGCTCCTCTTTGCTATTGATGTTTACTGACATTTTATTGAAAATTGGCCAACCTGAAGACCCCCTTCTATTAGCACTCCCTTCGATCGAAAACTGGTCGCATGAACACCCCCCTTTTATTAGCACCCCCTCTATTGAAAATTGGCTGGAATGAACACCCCCTTCTATTATCTTCTCCCCTTCTATTGGAGACACTAGAGTACCTATTAGATTAAACAGCAAACAATATTCTGGTTGGTAGCTGGGTAACAAAAATAATGTACATACAATAGTTTATTGCTTGATAATCCGATTGTCTTTTGGTGCATTTAATCTTTAATAGAGGTTTTCGAGATCCTTTTACTAGATATTCATTTCTTACATTTTCCGATTTCTGAGAAATGTAAGAGATGCTCGAAATATTTGTATTTTGCTTATTTGGAGCGATTTAAGGGTTTCAGCATTATCTAGCATTATCCCTGGTATTCTATAGCATTAGCTAACATCCGAAGGGTTTGTGAATTTAGAAAATTTTCGATATTTTTCCAAGAGATTATAAACTGCTTTTAGTGTTGTTTCCACAGAGTTTTCAAGGTTTACGGAGGAAGCCCGACTATTGGATTCAATGGGTTCATTGCAGATCTTTCCGAGAAAATTTCAAGGCACGTGGAAGATATTTAAGAAACCTTTTAATCACTTCAGTTGGATTTGTCACCGGTTATTCGATATAAAGAAGCTTTATTCATTTTTTCAAAAAAAATCCTGTTAAACGTCCCTAGTTCCCAATTATTTTTCCGAGGGGCAAAACCTCATACAGAAAGGTTTTGCCGAAAATCCACAAATATTAAACAACTTGTAACGTGCCAATATAAGCAGTTTTTTTCCTTGTATGACATTTTCAGCCTGTTTGTCTGTCCTCCGGCAAACAGGCCTATTTAAAAAGTCGATATACAACTATAGTAAAATCCTGATAACTTGAATCCCCGATACTCAAACATTCGCTACGTCGAACTGACATTACATCACCCTTGCCCAATACATTCATATAAGAAAGCACCTGATAACTCAAACATTCGCTAAATCAAACTGAAATTATATCACCCTTGCCCAATACATTCATATAAGAAAGCACCTGATAACTCAAACATTCGCTACGTCGAACTGAAATTACATCACCCTTGCCCAATACATTCATATAAGAAAGCACCTGATAACTCAAACATTCGCTAAATCAAACTGAAATTATATCACCCTTGCCCAATACATTCATATAAGAAAGCACCTGATAACTCAAACATTCGCTACGTCGAACTGAAATTATATCACCCTTGCTCAATACATTCTTATAAGAAAGCACCTGATAACTCAAACATTCGCTACGTCGAACTGAAATTACATCACCCTTGTCCAATACATTCATATAAGAAAGCACCTGATAACTCAAACATTCGCTAAATCAAACTGACATTACATCACCCTTGCCCAATACATTCATATAAGAAAGCACCTGATAACTCAAACATTCGCTACCTCGAACTGATATTGCATCACCCTTGCCCAATACATTCATATAAGAAAGCACCTGATAACTCAAACATTCGCTAAATCAAACTGAAATTACATCACCCTTGCCCAATACATTCATATAAGAAAGCACCTGATAACTCAAACATTCGCTAAATCAAACTGAAATTACATCACCCTTGCCCAATACATTCATATAAGAAAGCACCTGATAACTCAAACATTCGCTACCTCGAACTGATATTGCATCACCCTTGCCCAATACATTCATATAAGAAAGCACCTGATAACTCAAACATTCGCTAAATCAAACTGAAATTACATCACCCTTGCCCAATACATTCATATAAGAAAGCACCTGATAACTCAAACATTCGCTAAATCAAACTGAAGTTACATCACCCTTGCCTAATACGTTCATATAAGAATGCCCCCGATAGCTCGAACATTCGCTAATCCGGACCATTTCATCAGTCCCTTGGAGGTTCGAGTTTTCGGGACATAACTGCATTAACCTGAATTCCTTCATAAGAGTCAAGAAGACAAGAAATTAAATCACAAGAACAGAGATTGAATCACAAGAAGTTAATCATCACCTGTGCCATGTCATTAGTGAGTTTCATTTTGCCTGTTTCGGAAATGTCGTGCAGGAGACTTGCATGACGCACAAACAGAGTCAAACAGCGTGCAGCAACCGGTTTTAACGATTCTTGCAAGACATCTTTGCACTCATACATAGAGAAGTAGTCATGTTGTATCCTTTGAATGAAATTCTACAAAAAAAAGGAAATACTCGCTTTTAAACTTTCAACAGCCGAAGTTAAGAAAAATAGGGCTCACGAACGGAAAAGGAAAAAAGTGCCTTCAAGTTTGCCTTGAATTAACGTTGTTGTGGGCTGAGTAGAAGACTGGTCGACTGGTGCAGGAATTTTTTCTCTAATTAGTATTGACACGGTTTCTTTCTCGTAAAAATAATGACAATGCAAAATATTTTCTAAAAGCATTTGGGACCTCACTACGATTCCCTTAAATATCAAAACCCCAGGCCTCCCGATATTTGAGTCCTTTTACATGAGGTAGTTCCCTTCAACACTGACAACACTCCTCGTTCAGCAAAGGCGTTGTCCATTATTGATTATTTTCCAAAAACAGGAAAAAAACAGAAAAAGGAATCGAATCAGTTGTGATTGATAAGCATCTCCTATAACCGATATACGCAAAGCTCCGTTAGCATAGTTGAAAGAACGAGTAACGTGGTATACACAACAATTTTAAAATTCTGTATCCTTAAAACAGCATTCATTGCTGAATTTTCTAAAACTAGCTGGTTTATCAAAGAAGTCCAAGGCAGGGCACCAGATTTTAATAAACTGACCATCAATCTCCAAACAAAGTAGCAGTTCAATGATTAAGAATAAACAAATGGATAATATCAGCGATATTTTGAATTATCTAGAAATGAAAAATGAGGATTTACCCTTATATCTTTGATGTAAGAAGATGAAGAAGAATCTCCTTGGTCATCGACATCTTCAACAGCTGAATCACTGCTGATGAAAGAATTATTTTAGTAGCTACATGAGTCATTTGATCTCTTGCTTGAGAACAACTTCATCAAATGTGTTATAAAACTATCGAGTTACCATCTTATCAAGTTTGCTCTCCAACTTCTTCCGAATTAAAAGTTAGATTTGCATTCATTAGGCCCTGAAATGCAACTTGACAAGGAGATATGCAAAAAACTTGACACTGCGAAATACATGCTGACATAAAAGTTGCATTATTGTGATTGTATCATCTAATAAAGAATACAGCAACAAAAGAAAGACGTTTAAGAAGATAGTTAACAAACATATCAATTTAAACAAATTAAAGATAGAAAACATCTTTGACCGGATACCATTCTTCTTTGGCAAAATTCATGAATAATAATAAAACCTGAGGCTCATACAATAGTTTCACACAAATCAAAGCACTTCTGTCTACTCTAGAATATTGAGAATATTACAAGACCCCGAAACAAGGAGAGAAGATAAAATGATAAAGAAAGTAGATAAATATCAGTAAAAGTAAACCATTGAAAAATGATATGTACAGTATATGGCTATGATGCTTCTTTTCTCAAAACACCCAGTCATCCTTCCGAGGCCCATCGGCAACAAACTCAACACACAAAGAAACCACAAGATCTTACATGAGGTCAAGAAAATTCTGAATTTAATCATATCCTAAGCCAACCTGATAAAATTTTCTGTATGAATACGAGCCATCTTGTTTTCTAGTGACGTCATCACAGCATCTAGTAACAAATTCAGCGTGGTTTCCATAACCAGAGTTACGTTCTAAAACAAATGAAATTTTTCGCTTTCTAATAATCTTGCATATTTAAGCTCTATTGCATAACTAAGAGAATCTTTGTGAGAATATGACATCACAGCACCCTTAAAAAGCAAAGAATAAGCATGCATGGGAAAACTTAGGAGCACAAGATATGGAGGAGAGCGAAGAGTTAAAGGCACATCTCTTCTTTGCAATCGATTTAACCGCAAAGCAGTACACTTAACTATACTATGCTACACAAAGGCTATGGCGGATTAAGTTATCGCCAGTCATCTGTCTGCATATGTTTCTCTGTGTGGCACACGCCAAAAAGAAGTATTTAATGCTAGTCTCTTTGGTTTCTACAAAACTGTCAAGTTTAAGCAGCTTTCTTAATCTGTAACCAAGATTCAAGTCTGGTTGGTTGAACACCTGTCTACTATTCTTTTAAAATAAAATTTATTTCTAGAAAATACGTGCCTTAACTGACTGTCCTATAGCAACAACAGCTGCACTCGGAGCATCCTCTAATGTTGCTAGCACCTGCAAAACAAAAGGGCCTATATATGCTTGTTCGCAGTGTTTTGGTTTCTAAAATGCATGAACAAGTCTTCTGTCTTGTCTTTTAAGTATTGTTCTAACGTATACATTGCCATAAGGATGTTACTTTGAATGCAGTTTTAAATTAATTAAACAATGTAAGAAATATGACAATATTGTTCCATGAGAATAGCGAAGCACAACAAAGGATACGAAATTGCTGATGTCCATATGCTCAAATAATTAACGACTGAATATTACAGCGGAATTACTCCCTTTGTGATCATACTGTGCTGAAAATCCTTCTCAATGGTCAAGAAATCTTAGACGGACAACTAAAATGACGTCTGTTTCAGTTGACGTAGCAAAGGCAAAATACAAAAAATTGACTTGGTAAAAAAGTCTGTAGAAACGTCAATTTGAAATCAGAAGAAATCGTCTTCCAATAACAGCTTTCTTGAAAAATTTGATTTAGTGAATGAAATCTTCTTGTGCTTCATCTCTAAGATTCTGAACAGATGGTGATGATATTTTACACCCACCTCCCCCGTGCAATGTTGATATCTCTGCTGCTGAAATACATACGCTCTAGCAAACACTTTATGTGGGGGGATGAAATATGCATTCTACCCTACGCATGTTTAAGAGTTTGTCTCAACAGCAATGTTCAGGATTGTAGACAACAAAAACATGCAAGTTTCACTTGATGTTTGTTTCACGTTTAGTAGCTGTAAAGGTTTGTAATGAATTAAGGGAAGGTTTCTGGACGGATTTGACCTACGTGATCTGAACAGGAATTTACACAGCTTGACGCATAAGAAAGTAAGATGGGCTTACGTTTCTTTCACAAGATTTTGGCTGCATTCACAAGGTTTTCAATACTCCTTAAAAAGTTTTTTGAATTGTGGTAGAAGTGCGGGAATGTGGGAATACCACCCAAAATAGAGATTTTCAGGGATTAAACCAAAATTTTGAAATTTCATCAAATCCCATAAATCTTTAATCTGATTATTTCTAGCAAAAAGAATGCATCAAATTTGCGTGCAATGCAGGTTTAGTTGACAAATTTAAGGTGGTGCAAAAGAAAACACTTCAAAACATGCTTAAGCTTTTCGTCTGAGCCTTTCGGGAAATAAAAACGACAAAATATTATGATTGCAATTTTGAGTTAGAAAGTAAAGTTACCTGGCTGAGGATTGAAATAGACCTATCAGAAACGCGAGGACAAGACAGGTAAGGTTATCCAATCAATGCCGCATTCCCATAGGAAACAAATTACCGATAGAGACCTGGATTTTTTGGATTTGCATCCTTGAGTAAAAGGAATGCAATCCTTCTGAATGAATGGAAGGACTCGCCTGGCATTGGTAACAAAACATGACTGGCAGAAAGAAACATTGTTCAATGGAAAGTTTGAACTGACTTTCAAATTACAAGGAAATGGCACCGAACTATGGCAGTTTTATTTGCTTTATTTGTCAGTTTTATTTAAAAGTGTTTCTTTGCTAACGGCTGACAGAAAGAAACATTGTTCATTGGAAGTTTTGAACTGACTTTCAAATTACAAGGAAATGGCACCGAACTATGGCAGTTTTATTTGCTTTATTTGTCGGTTTTATTTAAAAGTGTTTCTTTGCTAAAACTATGTCTCCCTTCCAACTAGCAGTTTTGGAATCGATCTACATAAACATTTTTTCTCACCCCTGGACCCGATTGATAATGTTATCTACAGGCAATCGGCACTGATTGCAGAACTTTACCGGTCCTAAGCTAGAGTCTCTGATTGGCCTGTTTCAATCCAAAACCAGGTATATATATTTCTTTGTTTAGAATTTTCGACCTATCTTCTGACATTTGATACTCTGACAAGCGTCAGACCAAAAGTGTCGGTACGTTTTGAAATTTTTCCTTTTTCAAGGCCAATATACCGTCATAAAATTGTTTACTAAACAATGCTCACCTGATTAAGTCCACAGCTAAGTTGATATAGAGAGTTGGCAACTTCTGCATTGAGTATCTGTGCGTTCGTCAATCCACCACTTAGTTGGCTAGCCTCTGGGCTTGCAGTTATCTTTAACGAAAAGTATAACATTAACAGGAGCATACTGTTTATGAATGGCGTCCTTAAAATATCACTACAAAGTATTAATTCTGACGCTTCAAAACATCTTCAATCAGTTTGATATTCCCATATATTCGTAAATTTTGAAAAATTCAAACAATGAAAACTCCATCAACGTACATCTTCAAACAACGTTTACCCTACACATCATGCGCATATAAATATGTCCCCAAACTTTTCATCTCCGATCAAAGCCTAGTTGAGAGACCTCCAAACAAGGAGCACTCTCCTACAACGGACTGTAACTTTGGTCAGATACATATCCGATATACGCTGGTTTCGGTAGTCGGATATCTATCTGTCCTCAAGGATCCGCAATACGAGATTTTGCCAAAAAACAATTACGTTTAAGCCCTCGTCAACATAGCTCTTTTCCGTAACTTTCCAAATTCACAAGCCCTAAGAGGAGGGGGGGGGGGGGCTAATTTGAGGTTTTACGGTAAAAGCGATATTCCATGCGAAACAATGTTATGGACTTCCTTAGCACAGGTCCAGCTAAGGTGTCACTTTAGCAATAATCAGGAACAGGAGATGATTGTTGTCTCCGCAATATACATGCATAAAGGACCAACTTTGAAAGGGTAGAGTGCGGAGGAGGAGAGAAGAGAGGAAGTCTTTCTCTCCTCTCTCCTCCTCCGCACTCTCCCGCAACCCCCTATTTCCTCGACGCCCTACTTGCTGCACTTGACGCTCTGGAACCCAGGGTAGGGTAGACGGCGAATGATAAATGCATGCTAGCAAGCATGTATTCAGGAGTTAGTCTTAACAACTGTGACCAGGGATGTAGATTCACTGCCACACTGAACAGCCCGTGTCATATAATAATGAATAGCCCGCAATGCAGTCCACGCAGAAATGCATGCTCATACAGACACACTAATTACACCGGCAGATCAGCAGAGCGTTCGACGTAACCGCAGACAAATTTCTCGGTAATGTATGCATAAAAAACCATTAGGATTAAAGAAGCTTTTACCAAAAATGGGACTGAGCAATGATAATACGTGGGGTTTATTAATAACAGGCTAACATATAAACGGCATTGTGGAAAAAAGTTTATCGTGGTAATTATAACAGCAACATTTACCTGGCTTGAAAAATCAAAGTTTGATTTTCAAATTCAAATTCTTTCAAAGTTGCCACAGACAAAAACCAGTCAGCAAGATTAGAAACTTCCATAGTTTTGTAAAGGATAGACAAAGTGTCTCTGAATTTTTGATTTCGTATCGATGACCAATAACATTCAAATTATGGCTATGGTTAGAATAGCTTTTGTATGACTACAGCCAAGGATGAAGTCACAAAATTTTAGCAAGGGGGCCCTACTGCAGTTTGGGAGGGTCATGGGCGTGATTTGTGAGACCACGCCCATTTTGCCTCGTTTCAGTGTTGTGTATCAAGTTAATTTTCCTTAGAAAATATGATCTACCCCTACCTAGCGCTTTTTAAGCACTGGCAAAATGACTAATTATTTCACTAAAAATTTCACTCAACTTTTGTTTAGTGAGGTTGAGCGAAGTTTAGCGAGGGTGGCAAAACGTGACTAAACTTTTCACTAAACTTAACTCAACTTTTTTGAACTGTAAGCTGTCTATGACGCTGTTGGGTTGTAGAGGATCTTGCATAGAAATTTGCTTTTGGTTTATTTTTTTGCATGCACAAACAGTGGATAAAAATAAGAATTTGATGAAGCGGCGGGGAAAGAAAAGACTTTTTAGCACATTGATCAGAAAGTTGACTGTTGAAGAAGACACAGTGGCATACAACGAGATATGCAGATGTTTCATAAAGGCTTTTTGGGTCATGTAGAGACAGGAAAACCAACGATAACCGACGAAAACCTTTGGATTTCCACAGCTAGAGCGCCTGCGCGTTCACAACCAATGTTTAATTGGTGGCAAAGCCACTAAACATTTGATAAACAACACTAAGCAATGCTAAACATTTTTGACCAGAATCAAACTTTGCTCAACAACACTCAACACGACTAAACAACACTAAACAGGGTGGCAAAACGACTTAACTTTTCACTAAACTATTGGCTAAACGAAAGTTGAGTGAAATGTTTAGCGAAATACTTAGTCATTTTGCCATGCCTTAACACATGAAGTTAGAAAATTATGCCATTATGTGAAAAAAATTCACTTTCCCCCGATTTTTTCAAAAATTTTAACAAGGGAGGCTGCCCCCCCCCCCGAGCCCTCTCCCCCACCACTACATTCCTGACTGCAGCTTTGTTTTTAAAAGTAGTATGCGGTGTATGAAGCTAATCAAAAGCCTTAAATGTCACCTACAGATGACATCTTTGGAAATATCATGCAAATTATTTGTGAAAAGCTTATAAATTCAATAGTGAAAATGAAGAATATGCTACAAAATATGGTCTACGGCGCAAAAAGGAAACAAATGATGACAACTAGCGATATTTAAAAAATCAAGCAAAGATATTTAACTGCGCTGATACTCAAGAAATAGAATATTTTGAGTTTTTACAACATGGGACTATATTGATGACATTTTTAATGGCAATTATAACTATATCCACCCGTGGATTGTAACTTTCAAAATGGGAATTAATCGTTTAATTCGAGTTAATACCCGCAGGGAAAGTGCGCAGATTCCCCTTTTCTAGAATCGGGTGGTCCCACACGTATATCCTTAGTAGGCTGTGGATATCATGTTACCTTAGCTATTTGCTAATCACCTTGTGGTAATATCTAGGTGGTCTTTTCCTGGCATATTTGTTTAAGTACAGTGATGCAGCTCGGGTCATGTCATATTTTGCAGCAAGACTCACGCGTTGTTGTATGCGTTTTCCCCTCCCATCCCTGTCCAATTGTACTCGCTTCTCCTCCTGCCTATACCCCGTTACATACTTCTTTCTGCCTTCTCCTGTCTCACTTCTTCTCACACAGTCATTCGATTGTGTGACAGGTGTATCAGTCTGATTATCGGGGTAAAAAACTGAGGCAGTTTTTACCCTGGAATCAAACACCGACCATAAAATTGCGTCATTGCTCAGGCAAGACAAGGGCTGATGCACCAAAAGCCCAAAATGTTTTTCCTGAGATTAGGGTGTTGTTTATCATAACTAAGGGGCCCCCGCGATGGAATTAAAGTTATTATCATACCATTTAGACAGAGCCTTTCAGCTATTTTTTTACATTTAGCTATAAAGCATTATATAAAGCCATAATAATATTGTAATATTTTCCGAAAAAAATAATCCTGCCGAATGTGCACAACATGGGACTATAATGATGACATTTTTAAAGGAATCGATAAAGCTATGACCGGTTGTGAGGTTCGTTTTAAGGAACATTTGCCCCGAAACGTGTCACATCAAAGTCTAAAGTTATTGGCTGGAATAATAACAAGCTCCTAGCATCAACCAATAACAACGAATGCTCAAATAAGTTAATTGATAAATTTTGTACTTTTTTGACGATAAAGTTGTTACAATATAGATCAACACATTGTTATTACAGACAAAGTTATTACAACATTGTTTATGGATGCTTTTGACACAAACCCCTTCGCCATCCTAGTTATTGTAACCCATTTAGAAAGACCCTTTTTCTGCTGGATTTCCTTTCTCCAAAACTGGATTTCCTTTCCCCCTGTATTTCAGAAATTGAAAATCTAGGCACAGAATAATAATTCCACAGAGAGAAATTGCGCTAATATGACACTAGAACCATGTGCCTTTGGAGCCACGCATTATAATTCGATGAACTTCTGAAATTTCCTAAATACTAGACGATTAACTAGTTATATAGGGCTACTCGATAGTAATGTTTCTGTACTTTTGCAAAATATTTCAAGCCAGTTTGAAAATAAGGGTAAATCTATATAAAACTTGAAACCTCTGTTTTTGTCTGAGCTGTTAGCAAAAATTACGAAGAGTATAAGCCTGTAGATGATCGAGTAAGAATAAAACTAAGATCGAATGAAATTTTTCTGATCAAATAATTGCAGTAATTCCATTGCTAGCAATGTAGATGACCAGATTGTTTAGCTACAGCACGTGTGAACGAATTTCAGGCTTCATCGCAGGAATTGCCGGAATACAGTTCAATCCGTCAAATAAAAATGCAAGAACAAAAACAAGCGTCGGTCTTATCAAATAGATAAGCGAAGGCTGAAAACTGAACAAAAATTCACAAAACGTACTCTGTTTCGTTGTACCTCCATAGCGGCGTTGCGGATTTTTCTATACAGCCACAACGCCTTTGACGATAACAGCTGCGTTTGACTGTTCCCAATCGTTGCGACAATGCAAATTGACGAAAATTTCGTATTTGCGAAATAAACAGTTTCTATAAGAGAGGAGCATAAAAGGAACTGCGATTCTGCTTTAAATCTCGGCTGTCCTTGATTGCAAGTGAAGCTCGATTTGAGGGAAGAAATCAAATACGGCCTAAACAAAGAGCTATGAGAACGCGAGAATGTATCTGTACTGACTAACGAAGATCCTAAATTAAAAACAATTGGCAAAGGACATGTCATGGGAAAATAAAATCGTGAAATTCATAAAGATTTGCAGGTGAATTTAGAGTTTGAGAACATATTTTGAATTAAGCGCCGAAAAAAAGCTCGGCTTGAAAAGTCGAAATCAATTGTTGGTGTTCGTTGGCTGCAAATGTTCTTCAAAAGATGGCATGACAAAAAAGGAATGTCGTTCAGAAAGCATGCGGGATAATTTCCATGAAATATTGAAAAAGAAGAATGCATAAGCTGGAAAAATGATAAACTATTAATGACATTTTAATGAACAAGAAATGAAGGTTATATGAACAGGAATTGAATGATTGAAAATATAATGTTATAAATGATTAAATATGAGGGCTGTTTGGGGATGGTAATTAGCGAGTGACGCTTTTGTGCAAGGAAAAATTTACAAAACCTTTGTTTAAGAAGCAAAGTAGAATAAGCTGGCAAAGTCAGTTGTGTGCTTGCTGAAGAGTCTCGTAGGGACTAGCTGCTCGTTCAAGGACTATTTCCTCATTCAGGGACGAGCTGACATTTGAGGCAACGGTACAAATACCATTTTTGCACTCACACCAGGCCATGTAGGTAAAGAGAAGAAAACTCAGAAAATCGATAGTATGTGAATGCATATGCTTGGCTTTTTGAAAAAGATTTGGCTTGCATACGAATTAATAAAGAACAAGTAGCTGAACGCAAAATGCAGGCTACCTATCTCAAAGGAGTGCTCCAGAGGAAAACGACGCTGAATGATTATGACAGCCTTTACGAAGGAGCAAAGTTTTTGAAGGCTCAGAACCAGGAAGAAGGTAAGGTAGAAACATTAGAATTCAGTCCTTTAACAACGTTTGTAAAGTATCGTACACGAAAATTTAAAGGTCTTTGGCTTTATATGGGACCCTGCATTGCACAATTTGGTCTTCAACTTCATTACAGCCTACGTTTCATTCGCGTTTAACTTTTTTTAGATAAATTTAAAATTGTATCGCAGCAAACTACATAGTACGAGCACAAAATCACGACACAATACAACATAATACAATACAATGTAATACAATACATTGCCATACAATACAAAACAAAACAAAAGTATACAGAAACTGAATTTTGAAGGAAGAATGTTTCCCATAAAGCCATGTTTTAAAAATGATGTTTTATTCGTGAATTTTGTTACAATTCCGTTATGTAAGAAAATGCAGAGGATGCGCAAAACCGCAGCCATGGAGGAGCATGCATTAAACTGTGCTCCGTGTACTTAGACGTTCGTGCACCTTTGAGGATGGAAAACAAAGTCGATCAAATTTGAAGACGAAAAAGAATTAGACAAAACTAGGATAGCATAACATAGGAATCTAAACGTTCCTATTGGCAGAAAATCGCAGTATTGATTCAGCAGGGGATCAATTTAAGCCCATTTATGCCAGTGACTTTAAGGCCTTGTTCCTCTACATCTATGTTTACTAAACAATAATTCAACCTAGCTAATTAGATTAGTATTAGCAACTATTTAGACTTGAAACTGATCGAGATAGTTCAAGAGCCAAATTATTTTTCTGGGCCTAAAAAGTGCAGTATCAGAGAACTTTTAATTAATATTGCATATGAGATAAAGCCAGAAGATAGAAATAATTCATAGCGAGATTTTCAGGAAGAGAACAAGCACTTTTATAATAATGCCTAAGAACAGCACTGGTTGGAATTATCAACCCTTCGTTTGCGTGTAGAACTGGCAGCTGAAATTTGTATGCAAGAAGAGCATCGTTTATAGCCGAGCTTGGTATAACAAAGGTCAAGGAGCTTCTGCAATACCCTTTCTCTTACAGGCTGAGATTAAACAGTCGAGTGGTTAACGTGGAGTTCTCAACAAAATCTATAGTGAACGGCAAAAGAGGGCGGAGCTCTAAGGAAACCTTTTTATCAAAAACACGAGCATTTGAAAACAAGGAACCACAGCAAAGATGATTTCATTCGCCAAACAAAGGCAGATGTCCACAGCTTTAATCATTAAAAAAGCATATAGCGGAACTTTTACTATGGTAAACTTAGTGATTGATTGCATGAAGGGGTTTATTCAAAGCAGTGATCAGCAGATACAACGAAGATATTTTCATCGACTTGAAAAAGAACTTACTTTAAGCCAGCCGTTCAACTAAAACTATATATAAGATAATTCCTCGGAAAATACAAATGTCAACGGAGAACAGAATACACTGTTTTGATTCTGTAGAGCAGATTTATTACCAACCTGATCTCAAAGTCAGTTCCAAGCAAAATTATAGATAAAGATAATTAACAAAGAGCGTGTGTGCAGAACGGTTTTACGCCTGATCAGGGAACATGTGGTTATCCAGTGCTGGAAAAGGGAGTATTCGAATAACATCACGATGTACGTATGATTTCATTACCTGCTTCACTGAATGACAAACACGTGAATCAGATTAATCAGTGTCTCATAATATGTAAGAGATTATCTTTATTTTTAGTGTGCAAGAGTACTTTAGCAGCATAACATTACAGGTCAAAGTCACACATCGATCTCATGATTCAATTGCTAGTTTGAATATATGGATAGTCAATGTAGTTCAGCGTGTTGTACGTCGAGAAATGAGCAAAAATTAATATAGTAAAATAACGACTTTATACACGAATGAAAGATAAGAACGATATTTAGAGCAAGAGGAGTTACGCTCGAAACGTTGTACTTATCGTGTACAAAATCGGTATTTAATTGTATAAATTTTTGCTCGTATGAATATATAGGATCGAATGTAATGAAGGTATCGTAATGTGCCTTTTAACACTGCAACAGCGTTGAACACGAATGAGAGATTTGCAATTTTTGGTTCAGAGTGAATTTCGCTCGCAGCAGACTTCACAAAGTGAAAATTAAAAACTTTTCATACGAAGCACACGTTGCACGACAGATCATTGAATTACAAAATTTATTGTTAGCCTACGCATATATTGAGAGTGGATGCAGCTAAAATTCCACATTTTGGTATGATGCCTTCTTTTCCGAAAGACAATGACCTACGTCGTTACAATTCGACATCTGGGGAGCATCAAGCTTACATCAAACATTATGGCTCCTAAGACAAAACTTCTTCTATATCTACATACACTTTATCTACATAAACCATAAATTAGGATTAAATTAGAATTTAAGGGAGTAACGCTTAATGATTTTGCATTCTCAGCACTGACCAGAAAACTGCATAAGTGGTGTTGCTCAACAAGGCTCTTTACTATGCCCGTTTAATCAAACTTCTTGTTAAATTATATAATGACATCCTTGAAGAGATTAAGATATGCTAAGTGTTCGAGATTTAATTTTGATTCACAACTGACAACTGCTAGACAAAGCTTTGTTGTTTTAAGTCTGGAATCAAACAAGGCTAAAAGCTAGCTCTTGTTAAGAACTAGCGTTTCGTTGAATTTTTATGAATAGATAAAATAAAATAAAATTGTTTGCCAAAGAACTAATCATATCACCCCGATTAAAAAAAGGCATGCTTTATTGATATGCAAAAATGGTGATTTCAGCTAACAATAAACTGTTTTATTACCTAAAAACATTTAGATCGAATTTAAGAAACTTGCGACACCAATGCTTAAGTAATTAATCTAAAATTTCTTTCTGAAAATAAATTGATAAAAAAATGATACACAAAGCTCAAAAGTGAAGCTCTTCTCTTGGCTACAACTTTTTATGCTCAACGGTGAAACTTGGCAGACAATTATGTCCGATTTGAAAATGTTCAACCGTATCAGGTGAATACAATTTAGTTTTGGAAATTCAGCCTATTACAGTTAATAAAAATCCGGTAAGCTATGTAAGGCCAATCAACCCTAGCAACACTTGTATTCATACAGCCTAATAAATTCACCATATTCGGATTCATGCTAGACCAATAAGGCTTCAAGTATCACCAAAATAGAGTCAAATACAGTCTTCGCGGGCTCGATGTTGGACTTCCAGGGGTAAATGCTTGACATGACTAACTCAAAATCGCACAGAGTCTTGGCGATTTTATGAGTCATAAAGCTTGGTTTGGAGATGGCAAGAAATGGCGGAAACCTGCCATACTGAAGCACACTTATTCTTCATATTCTTCAGAGTATAAACGTCAGTTTATGACCGAAAGAATGCAGAAAATTTTTGATGTATCCAAGCGTTGATCGAGAACTTGATTTGGAAGCCCAACAACTATAAACAGAGACATATGAGAGAAAGGCAGGTTTGGGGCTCTTCATCCAAATTCCGAAAAATCTATGTGTTAAAAAAGCAGTCTATGTAACCTTTATTTTGGGGGTTTTTCTTTCATACTTTTGACAAATCGATAATCAGTTTCTATGACGTCACGTTTAATCACGTTTAATCGTTTCTATGCGATTAAACAAGAACTTGAACATTGCTTGTGAAGATGAAGATGCAAAGAATATTCGTATATGCTAAAATCAGGTTATTTGTTACAGGCTAGGAATATTTTCGAATATCAAAACGAACTGCCCGCGTAATCACTTCATTTAGCCTGCTAAAATTTCAATTTCACTTGATCCTTGCAATAAAGTATTGCTGCAATTACGATTTAAATCAGAACTCTTTTATTAAACACAACATTCCGGTACTCTATTGTGTCAATTTATTCCTTTCAAGCAAAATATAGACCTAGAGCCTGAAAACCTAAACGATATGACTCTTGAAGAAGATAAGGACGTCCAGGCTATTTGATAATTGAAATCTCAAAAGTTTATTTGCGAAGATAAAACACAGCCGCATTGAAATGTTTAATTTGTTTGGATAACATTAAAACAGAATAGAACTCCTACGCATCGACCATATTTACTTGCCGGCAAAATCGAGCAGTAGCAACGAGACAATCAGAACTCTTTACCACCGACCACGAAAAACATGCCATCTGCGAATTGACCGGTGTTCTGTACTTCAAACAGAGTTATGTACTACAGGCGATAGCGAAGAAGAGCCCGGGAAGCTAGAAATTCTATTAGTTCTGATTATGGAATTAACAACGCACGCTCTGAACAAGTATGAATGGTAATTACCTAGTTCTTTCAAGATTAAAATTGGCGGTCATACACAAAACAAGGCAAGTTGAGTTAAGCTTGTTTGGGTGGAATACTGATAAACAGTTATTTAAATTCATATAAGACATGGCTATAGTTTTGATTTGAAGCAGAGAAAATCGGCAGCCGATTTTATAGGGAGAATTTGTTACCTAGAGAGACTGTGCATGATGTTAAGAATTTACGTTGACAATCTTATCTGAAGTCGTCAATGTAAAGAATTCATGCTGAGCTACTTAACATGCAGTGCCTGTTACTATGGCTGGACAAGTTATCAGGGAGCTATGACTGGTTATAAAGCAGTGGCGCAGAGAGTGCTTGAGCAGCCAAGAAGCGAATTGGTATTGGAAAATGATGGTTAGAGTGTGTAGAGTGGGCGTCGACCTTCAGAAAAGACGCCATGCAGGCGCTTTGAGCTGATAAAAGAAAACATTGGTAAATGATTCGTCTTGGTGCATGACGTTATTTTCATGACATTACAGCTGAAGTAAAAACAATCTAACAATCTACGCAAGAAGAGAATAATTTAATTCTAGGATCACATGACAGTAAACACAGCTTTGCGAAATTTACTGTGGTGTTTTCAAAACGTCGAGATTCATATTAATCCTCTAAAGAAATACGACGATATTTCGGCAGAAACATTGCTGAATTTTCGCATATATGAATGCTTCACAGCAGGGGATGGTGCTGAGGAAGTCTAGCAACCGATTGATCTCAGTTGCATGGAAAAGAACGCAAATGAATCGAGCAGATTGCATGGAAAAGAACGCAAATGAATCTTTGTGATTTATGCTCTACTTTTTCAAGAATTAGAAATAGATAAATACTGGCCATTACCAGGGACAAAAAACTTGCTGCTTGAGGCAATAACCATTGAAAAAATCGATGAACAAAACATTTTTCTTTCGAGGAGTTGTATATTGCGATCAACATGGAAAAGGATATCCTTGCAATGAAAATACTTGCATATTCTTATTCAACGTATTCGTGGCATTAAACGAAAGCTACAACAAAATTTGATTAAAATGCATTCATGTGAGGCAATGAGCAGATTATGACGTCATTATTTGATACACAGTTTCTATTTGAACATAGAGTTGGAATAGGAACAGCAAATTGTTGGATTATGCATTGCAACCAGCTGCTTGTATATTGGCTTTTTTGTGTGTATGGAATACTCTACCCTTGAAGAGTCCAGCTAACACCGTGATTCAGGAGAGCGCAAATTTCATCAAATTAAAGATATCCGCTTGTTCAAGATGTGGTGAGCGTTCTTTGAAATCAAGAATTTTCAGAACAGGGTTATATAACTAAAAACTTATCAAAACAAGTGAAAAAGGATATTCAATAATCAATTACTTTAAGGAGTTAAAAGAAGCATCGAAGAAAGACAGTAGTACGGTATACAAAATACTTTGGATTGCTTCATACGACACATGGTTGCTACAAGAAAACCTGTTAGGACAGGTAAGTGGGCGGTGTACACTAAAGCACTAAGCAAATTTAATATTTAACTAACAGAGAAACATAACTCGACAATGCAGCTGTGTTTGGAATGCTTCAATAACATGATTAGACAACAAAGCTCCGTAAACTTCACACGTTCCCCTTCATAAAAAATAAAAGTCGAATAATTTAAGGAGTGGGAGTCTGCTGAATTGAAATAATAATATGACAAGCCAAATCAACATATTATGGGTCTAAAAACTATAAAGAAATTGGAAGTGCGGTTTTAATACTTAAAATGTTCATCGACATATAAAAATTATACTTTTCTTATTTCGATATGACTCAGATTTTTGATATATTTAAACTGTGAATGCATCAGAAATAAATTTGACATTGGTATACAAGGTTCTTAATATTTTGGTTTTTAAGAAATATATTTCAAAAGGTTCTCTAAAATATCGCACAAAGTTTTTTCTATGTAAGTCTTTTTTTTAATATTAGTATTTTAGTAAAATTGCACAAAGTTCTTTAATATTTCTCTGGAAAAATTTTTAATATTGGTTGAATATTGCAAAAGATTGAATATAGCAGGTATTCTGTTTTAGTGAAATATTTTGATTAAGGTTTTCAATATTTTTTCTACAAGAAATATATTCGATGTTGGTTTGATTATTGGCAAAGCTTTATATTTTCAAGTATAGAAATAGTATAAAGTTTCCTCTTAGGCCGACTTTAAAGACCTCCTCTAAATTCCACTGTTCAGAAGAAAACGATCTGTGATATACTTGTTTCATACTGGTTTTGAAGGAACTCAAAATAATGCTTGTAGCAAATCAATTTGATAATATGAGCAGCAAAGCCTTTTATCAACATTTTGTCAGTTATTCAACAGTAATTATCACATAGTTAATGTTCATGAATTTGCTTGAAGGGGCACTGTTACACTACAAGCTACCACTGTCTATGTTTTATAGACAAAATTTGAAATTACTTTGACAGTGCATATACTGAGGTTTCGGAGACCTGCTTGCATAAAATATATTTGATAAGATTGCAAACACTTGGGCGCTTAATACGGATGAAATCTTAATGAATTTAGACTTTTAAAAGGTCGGTCTTCAACCCTACACAGACTCTGGAAATTTTTTGCATACGTCAATAGCTGTGAATTGTAGGCAAGTTCATCAGAAAATCAATCCCCATAGTTTCAAACCGTCTTCAAAGTGAATACCACACACTGCTATGGTGGACTTAAATTACGTCAGTGAAGCTGTGAAGTGTCTGGTTTCAGCGCAGTTTACATCTGGGCAACCATAACATCTTCCCCTAGCAACTGCAAAGCTGTGGCTATTACAGCACAGTTACAAATATCTCGGCCCTTGAATGATATAATTCCAAGGACGCAACAACAGTCTCAATAAGGTACAGTCGACTCCGCTTAAAGTCAATCCTCTTAACGTCACACTACTGTTCAAAGTCACTTAAAATTCAGACCAAACTACGCAAAACAGTTCAATTGAAGCTCTGTTTACAGTCACACCCTGCTCACTGTAACTGATTTTAAAGCAAAATTGGGCGTGACTATAATCTGAGTATACTGTAGTCGAAAGAGACACATATCAAAGCACTATTTAAAGTCTGACACAGGCTTTTATTTTTTTGGAAATTGTGGAGTACAGTCGAGGATGTTGGTTACGACACTTGGTACCCATTGACGAAAAATGGGTACAAGTATAAAACGAAAAAATGAAATGTGTCGTTAGCAATAACTTCAAATATTTTTGGGATATTTTTCCGACCTTTAGAAATAAAATTTGCATTACTGAGATCCAACTGTCATCGTACATGCCTTCCACCATTGTCTCTGAATGTATGGAGAAATAGAGATCATCTTTGCATTTTTGGCATCGATTCAAGGGGTTCCAAAAAATTATAAAAATCGACCCATTACCTTCTTCTTCAATTCTAATTACCTAGATATCAAATATGAACTAATTAACTAATTATTTACAGACCTGGTTCTATTATTAAAGAATCCAATCGAATTTGATGAAGACTTATATTCTTCAACAGGACCAAATCTCAAATTTAATTTGACCAAACACGAATCAAGTCAGTATCATGTTTGCATTAGCAAAAAAATGTTTATGAGACTTTGATAAAAATAAAGCCTGGCTCCATCACCCTCATAAATTTCATAAACTAAAAGGTATCTCTAAGTAATAATTTACATTTCTAAACTTGTTGAGGCAAAGTAATGAAAAGTGCATTAAACGGAATCCTTCTCATAAGGTATATCTGTTGGATAAGATGCAATGCAAGTGGCATAAATATGTTGGTGGTTCTTTTTACATGGTTTTTATAACAGGGAAGAAATTTTGCTGGAATATTATTTGTCTGTTATTTGTGGGCACCGTTGGTTGCACTTGTCCGTTAGTTACATATGTCCGTTAGAAGCGGATTTATTGTATTGGGATTCGCTGCTCTACTTATGGTATAAGTTCATATTTTTAGATATTTAAAATGAAGTGCTTTACAGCGTGCAAATATATACCTGATGCAAAGTGTCATACGATAATCCGAAGATTTTAAAAAGATTTGAATGTAAATCAGAGAAGATAGTTACCACATACCCAAATATTGTTCAAGAAATTACCCTTTGATGAACAGCTTTAAGAATATTGGAGACTATTGAAAATCGAAAATATTATTGGTATAGCTGTTTCTATAAAAGTTAAAAAAAGTTAAAATTTGTAGAGCTCTTTCGGTACAAAATCTGCTCTACCATCGACTAACACCACTTTGTAAAATAAGGGAACTTGACTGCGAAGCGAATAACAAGGGGCAAAGAAGACAAATAAACCCCTTGCTTCTCTCTGCAGTTGCATTTGGCGTGGTTTAAAGTTTAATAATAAGAGACTTTTGAACTAAAGACAAGAATGGTTGAATGTATTGGCTACGAGAAGGATAAACAAAGAGATGCTGCGCAGCTCGCTGACTGACGCAACAAAAGACTTGTAATAAGTCAGAATATAATTAAATAGAGAAGAAAAATAGCACAGCATAAATTAGTCAACAGGCTCATCAACTATCATCAAGCCGTAAAATAATCTGCGACGAATATCATTCCAGAACAGGGCCTATGTGTGTTCTTTCAAAAGAGGAAGCCGAGTTCTTTCATGAATATTTACTAATTTTTTTGAAGTTTATTCAAAGAAACTCGACAATGATCCGATGCGGCCACTTAAAAGAAAAACCGTTTACGTGAAACAATATAAAGGAAAATTTCAATCCCAGTTCAAAGGATTAATTGCACGGTAAACTGACAATGGATTGTAAAATAAAATAAACAAAAAAAGCTTCTAGTTATAAAAATCATATATTTTTCATAAGACGGTATGCTGCTGTAAGCATTTAGTAGGTATACATGCAGATGAAAAACGTAAATCTTGATCTGAGCTAAAGATTTGAAAACAAAGACTTGGAAATCATATCTGCAAAAAAATAAACACAATTATTGATGATAAACTCAAAATCCAATACCGGATTCCTAAACTTAGACCGCATTTCCCAAAATGCTTTGTTAACAAAGCCCGCAGAAGATAATCCTACTACTATAAAAAGAATACACCACTACAGGAATAATTTCTGGGAGTTAAATGAGGGCAAATGACATCTTTACACCACTACAGGAATAATTTCTGGGACTTACTTGAGGGCAAATTACATCTTTGTTGATCAAAACGCAAAACTGAGATTCGAAGATCCCTAGAAATTTCTAGTAAAGGTGGTCGTATATTATTTTGTAGCCCATTAATATACAGCTGCGTGGCTGCTCGAAGAAATCTACTTGCACAATCACGGCCCTCACGATAGTGGAGATGAGTTTGTCACCTTCTATAGTCGTATAAAGCGTTGTTAGTGAATTGCTGCAGTTTTCTGCCAACAGAGCAAATTTCTGCTTAACTGAAAAATCAATCCTAAGTCACACCTACGGAAAACATGCCACAACCATATAGGCAAACCTTTTACGCTACATGCACCTCTCAAGTCAAATTAATACCCAAATACCCTATGTAAACCTGATTCTTGCAGGATTACCGTGGTTCCTGTGACGCCGGCAAACTGAGTCATACCACAATATTTCGAAAAATCTTCAAAATTACAAATGATTATTCTTATAGCGTGTAGTACTTTCATCTGCAATTATTCAAGAGGGAATTTCTTTGCAAATCTTTGAAGGTTGGGATGTCCAACGGATGAGAAAGGTTGTGTTAGAAAAAAAACTTCTACTTTTCTAGGCATTGATGGCGAAATAATTGATGGCTTCTTTCTTCTATTAGCTAGGAAACAAGCATTATAGGGAAGCCTACTAATAACCGAAATTTTGTATCAAAACTTCCTTTAGGGGCTCAAGCTAAGAAAATTCCTTAGAGCGATGACCTTACACTGGAAGTATCCTTACAATGGGCATCTGTGAACAGCATACAATCCCTCTGCAATGGACATCTCCTTACAAGATAGCTCCTTACAATTGACATCTCCCTACAACGGACACCTTCCTAAAATAGGCACATCTTTCTTACAAAAACCTCTCTACAAAAAACAATACGCTACAACGGACAACTTCTTACGACAGACAATTCTCTACAAAGAACACCTCCCAAAAACGGACAACTCCTTTAGACGCAAACAGCTCTACAGCGGACGGTAGCTTCGTAACGTAATCTTCTTCGTCGCCTTCAATGAATGAAAAAATGTCCTTTTGAAGCAGGTGTTATTTGTCTACCTACTCCAGCAAATCCCCATTTTTCTAATAAACCTTAGGTGCTTAGAGTTTTGATTGCAATAACCCAATTATATCCATAGTTACTAATAGGTGTGAGTGTCATAAATAAAAGGTTGAGTTGTGCATTTCAAAGGAACATCGATTAACTGAACAACAAAAATATGAGTCAAGTTGCGATAAGTGACACTAATCAAGGCAAAACTTGTTTTAGTCAAAGCTATCTTTCTTTCAAAGATGACAGGAAAAAATGAGATTAAAATCTTCATCAATTACATTCCTTGAATGGAAAAACCAACGAATAAACTTATTGATTAGTAGCTGCTGCTAAACAGGCATTCAGGCCTTCTTAGCTAGAATTTCAAACCTTTCGAATTTCAAACTAATTCGAAATTCTCCAAGATGCAATCTCTGCTGCAATCCAAGCATAAGAAAATTGACTCATTGGAAACCATTGGCCTTTTACAAGCCTACTCAGACTGTAGAAAACCAACTATTTTCTGATATTCGCAACATATTCGCAACAGGGTCTGTAGGCAAGCCATGCAACTCGCACAATATTTTAACAACAGCGACAACAAGTGCGGTAGCAGCAGCAAAAACAACAGTACCGAGCAATGAATTAAAATGTAGTTTAACGTCTGCGTAAGGTTCGAAACCAAAAGAAAAACTCTTCCTTGATTTCAAAGACAGGTGTAAATTGAACGATACGCATGCTTTAAGAATTCCAAATAAAGATTCAAAGAAATCAAATAATTCTAATCCACAAGCAAACTGAAGACGCGAAAGGAGGCCAAAATTCATGGTATTGAATTTCGTTGCAGACCTTTCAGTAAATTATTCACGTGCACCAAAAAGCAATTAACAAGAATCTAAAAAACAGCAATATTTGGTATTTCAAGACAAAGGTGTTCCTAACCGTTTCTAGGAATCCTGGAGCCTTCAAATTGTAAGAAACTAAAACGTTCTTTTAACCTACATTGTATAATAATAACAGCAAACGTTCACTCTAAGTCAAGTAAAGCACTTCTTCATAGAAAGACCATATTAAAATCTTCATTCAGAAATGAGACTTAATTTGGTTTTATCACCAGCCTCCAAATGTTTTACCACCAGCTTGATGCCTTAACCATTTCTACAATCGTTGCCAAAAGTACTTGCAGCACCGAGCAATTTGCGTTGCATTTTATATATTTCATTACTTTTCCGAAAACAAATACTACTTCCGCCAACTTCCCCCAAGAACAATGTTGATAGTTTAGATAAATATCATACAAAAGCCAGCAGAAGGCACTTCCTAATTCCCTAACCAGTTTTATAGTAAACCAGCTATGTTAAGAGGGGAGGTGGATGACTGAAATTGGCCTTTGAAAACTGACGTTTAGGACTTCTCTCATAAGCAAGCCTTCATAATTTTTCTGCAGGGGCCAAGCAGAAGAAGCAAGAAGAGGGCGAAGACATCGAGAACACAGGGGAAATCAGCTTAAAGCCAGCGTTCAAAACACTGACGTTTCGGGTATTGGCATTAATTATATACATGTGCCTTGGGGCCTTGGTCTTCTGTGCCATTGAATTCCAAGATAACGACAAGACGAAATGGGACAGAAAGACTGTGCTATTAAGGTCAATGCTTAAGAGAAAGTATAACATAACAAACGAGGAAATGGAGAAATATGAAGAAGCAGTGGCAAAAAGGCAGATCGAGTATAGAGCAAGCCATCATGAATGGTCATACTATCAATCACTGTATTTCGTAAGCACCGTTACGACAACTATAGGTGAGTCGGTTATAAAAGCACTTGTCTTTAATTGATTTCAAGTCATAAGTATTACGTCGGCTGGGTATCATATCAGCTGATTTTAATCCCTCTCAAGTCAGCTGTAAGCTTTAATCACTCTTATATCGGCGAAAAAGTACGATGTTTTCGGGCTGCACCTGTAGAAGCGTAACAAAACGTTTCTTCAACAGTGATGTGAGTGCGAAAGTATAAAAGATTAGAAAAGACAAGGACGAAGTCAATTTTCTTAATTCGATGTGTTCTGAGATATCGTAAGATTAGGATCTGACTAATGCCATTTTATTTGGCTAAAACGCTGTCAGAGTTGCCAACAGGAACATACTACAAACTAAGTTAATTTTCTTTTCGATGTCACACCAAGAAAAATAAGGCAAAATTCACAGCAGATTCGACAACATAACATTTTCTGAAGGCAACAGTTGAAATTTAAATTACCTCCTTGATTTGGGTAAAATACATGTTTTGACGTATCACAGTGAATGACAGTTTTTTGGAAGCAAGAAAATAACTTGCCTGGTATACATGCAGTCCTATTAAAAATCTATCATGCCATGTCTTCCATTCCACCTACCCTTTCGTTGGTTTTTCTATGTTGAAAATAGTCGTCAGTGAATTCATTCATACAAGCATAAACGAACTTCTTTTCCCGGTACAATGACGTTTGCATTAACTACTAGTTCCTTGTGATTCTTAAAAAATAACACGTGAATACACAAAAAATAATTTAGACATGAGGGAAGCTATTTTCATATATGAGCGGGTAAAATATAAGATACCCGTCAAGTTCCTGCTTCATTAAGCTTCTGCTTCAAAAAGTCAAAGAGAAAAGCTGCCAAGCAATTTATCTAGAAAGTTGATTATCTAGCGCCACGCAACAGCAAAATTCGGAAGTAAAACTCCCCTCTCCTAACTTCGTCATAATATCCCGGCCTCCTTACCAAATTCCAATTCGATATTTAACAATATGCATGTGCCGCCATGATTATTTCTTCTCGTTTACAGGTTATGGCCATCTGACACCACAAACGCAAGCTGGGAGACTATTTCTCATCGTGTTTGCAGTTGTTGGCATTCCAATAAATATACTCGCATTGGCTACAGTTGGGGAACATATAACAATCGGAATATGCTTTGGAATATCGAGACTGAGCAGACTATGTTGTAAAAGACGGACCGTCCGCCATATTAATATCAAGGTCATGATAGTCTCGATAACATTAATGGTTTTCATGTTATTCATCGGTGGTGCATTATATGTTTCCACGGAACAATGGACGTATATCGATAGCATATATTATTGTTTTGTTGCCCTGGCAACCATAGGGTTTGGAGACCTGGTACCAAACGACGGCCAGGCACCAGAGACGTCTTTCGAGAAAGCTCTATGGGGCCTACGTGCATTGTATATATCGATTGGGCTCTCGCTTGTTTCAACTGTGTTTACAGCGATATCAAATGCAATCGAGGAGATCAACGCACTGCTAGGATGGTCAATGAAAGGTAAGAGCATTCAAGGTAAATGTAATCCAATTTTCAAGCATCTGATGCCACTTTTCTTCAGAGTCTATGGGAATAGACAAATACTAAAGTGGCTCAAGCTATCTGTCAATCGACATTCAGCCAATCAAAAAGCGCGATACCACTCACACGGTCACCGATTGGCTAATAGTTCAATGAAAGGGGTTTAAACCTGAATTGCCTTGTGTATAATCTAATAAATCTGATCTGCAAAAGTTTAACCCAATCTTTGAATACTCATATGCAAAACTTACAAACAAATGATTAAATGTTATGAAATGATTCTATTGTGCCTAGAAGGTACAATCTTGGCAGAAAATAGCTGAGACTTTCGAACGGAAAAGGAATTCGCCTGCTTTATCTTTATATTTTAAAGCTGACCTAAATCCCTCCCCCCCCTCCCTCCCGACGTCAATGTTTGTTGAGATGATTACAGCATAACTGGGGATACATCGGGCTAAACTAATTTCATTAGAACATTGATTGTGGGGGACGGGGGTTGGATGATTTCTTATTTTCTGCGAGTGTCTCGGCATTTTTTGCCAGGATTGTAGCTAGCTGAAGACTTTTTCATTATTGGCCATGAAATGGTGAATAAAATGATTATGTTTCATTTCTTGTTGATAGCAATGGCATCTCCATCAGGTTTTGATGAAATGTAATTTCTTCGATCACGCTGAATAAACAAAATCGCGGGATTTTAATTTTCTACCAAATATCTTGGAATCTACTGTGATCTTGAACTGGGAAGAGCCTTGCAGTTACTTCTTCTTTTTAGCCTTGTTTATCAGACATAGTAAAAGAAAGCTGCTGAGTTATGCTTGAAGATAAATTTACAGAGTAAAGTTTGCGAACAATATCTTTCTATCGATAGGCGAGGACAAGGAGCAAAGACGGAAACTGAGTACCGTCGATGGTGAAAATGTGCCAGGGCTAAAGTCACGTGCAATAAAGCTACCCAATCATATCACATATCGGACAGCAGTCGATGAAATGCATGACAACCTTGGTTAGTCACCCTTTTTGTCTTTATAAACGTATCTATGTACCATAATTACAAATTGCTATCCTTGTATTTCATGTCAGCATGCTGAAGTATAACATATCGTTGACCATGAATCTTTTGCAGCGATAGTGTTCATTCCAACAAAGCGTCCGAGAGCTACAAAATTTCGTCCGTAACCGTTGTAAGCATACAGACACATTTGTTTTATGCCGCCTAAAATTGAGTAAACTCCCAAGCTTTCAAAGAAAGAGTGGAATATTATGTTATCGTTGCCAATCATTGCTATTAAAAATAATTTTCAAAAACAAGGCATAAAATTTTTCAGATGGAAGTTTCGATGGTAAAAGGTTTAGGATACTAAAATATCCGTATTTCATTCTTTTAGCAATTCAGCCAAAGATATCGTCCTTTAGGGTTCTTAGTCCTTTAAGTTCAAAATGTTATTCAATGAGAGAAGGCAAGGATTTCAATGTTCATATTTGAATTCTAGCTTCTGCATTGCCAATGCCCGGCTTTCGGCCCAGGTCGGATGCGAGCTGTAACAGTAACAAAAACACAAAGAACAAATTACTGCATGGAGATTTGTCTCGCAGTGCTGGCCGAAAGAGAGACAGTAAAGGCGTGGTCACCATGAACAATACGCCTAGCAAACCTCCACTAAAAGAAAAGAGTAAAATCGACTTAAAAAGGCCGGACTCGTCGTCACGAAGCAGTGCTGATATAGCGATTGATCTAGGATCACAAAATCATTATGAGCTATCAACAATCAGTTACAATGATTACGGCGATTCAGCTAACAGGCAGATAAACATAGGCAACGGTGCGGCGATACGCTTGAAGGAGATATCAATTGATATAGGCAGTGGAATAAACTATGTTGACTTAAGGCCTACACAGCCCAGAAGGCTTCGATCGGTGAATTCTAGCGAAAATGACGGGTATGAGAGCAGTCACTGCACCCAATCCGAGGCTAGTCTCGCACATCCTGAGCTAAAACTAAGAACTCGTCGAAATAATATACTTGATATCGAATCACAGATATCAGACTTTCCATACTGCGCTAGTAAAAGACGGACTACCAGTACCACATCGGCACCTCGTTTAGAAAGGAGAGAACGGTCTAATACAATGTCTAGTAAACTATCATGGGAAGATACAAATTACACCGCATTGAAATTCAATGGGATCTGTATGCAAGAGGGTGGTCCAGCTTTTACTGAAAAGGGAAGAAATATCAAAGAGGTTTTCAACAGACGATAAAGAGCTTGTCAGCCGGCTTACATTGTCTGAAATGATGCAAATATCATTGGCAACTGGCTGCCAGATTGATGATGAATAGTGACAAGAAAACTACAGCTAAAAGGTTGAATACAAAAACAGAAAATTTGCTGCTAAGAGGCTCAGCAGTAAGGTTGTTGGTTGTATGAATCACATTGGTTCGCTTTAATGCACAAATGGCTATAGCATATAGGAGATGTAACTGTCGCGTTCAAACAACTGGCTTATTCACCTTGGTACAAAACAGTACAATGCAACATGGTATTTAAAATTTAAGAGAATTGTCAAAAATTGCTTTTTTTGTTGCCAACGCTAAGAACGTGTATCATTATATCAGCATCTCTCCACAATTCATATTTGAGATTATCAAAATAGTGAACAATATAAATACTTCCGAACCCCGGCAAGCCCCACATTTGTCACTCCAATTCATTGGAAAAATAAAACACACGACACGTAGGCATTGCTACTATCAGTGATGAAGGTTCCATAAATATGGTAATTTTTACCTAACATTTGGTACCCCCTTCTAGACAAAGATTTATTCCATTTAAAACTCCTCAAAAAAGGTTTCCTGCCTTTTTAGTTTAACAGTACAAACTAAAAAATATCTTCTTCTCCGGTTCCTGGCATTCAAACAATACTTTTACACACCCTTCCACCACTTTAAAAAACATACTATTACACTGTAGTCTCCTGCATTATCACATTATAAACTGGTTTTAATACATGTTTTTGACAGTAAAACCACATGTGCTTGATTCGTACAAAACATCCATTACAAAACCCCATCTATTTTTGTGCACAAAAGTGTCGAAAAATAGATTGGAAGCACTCAGGTCTAATTGTGGCAAACTTTCTACCTTGTGGTAAAGCTTCATAGAAGCATTAGTTTTAATTACGCAGCAAAATTCAAAATAATTAACTTTTCTCAATGCAAAATGAGATGATAGCTTGAAAATTGGGTTTTACTGACATAACTGACTCTGTCTGCTGACATAAAAAAGAAAAGCTACTCTTACGGTTAATGCCATGTGCTGCTTAAGGTCAATATTGGCAGATTGCTATTATGAAGCAGTCAACAGGCCACGCTGATACATAAATACACGAAGAAATCAAATGAGTAAAACTGGATCTGTAAAAGTAGATTTCTAGAGCATCAATTCTAATATTTCAAGCAAGCGTTGAGTACGCTGTGTGTCTGTTTTCCCTTTTCACTTGAAAATGTTCTTGCTGAGCATCCCTATTTGCATAGCAGCTCTTAAATCATCTGTACATGGCCTAAAGACAATCGAAAGGTATAGAAGTGGCTTAAGCCATCTATCAATCAATATTAGCCAATCAATAAGCGTGTGAGTGGAATCACACTAGCTGGTTGGTCAACTCTTGATTGAAAGACGGCTTAAGCCCTTTTAGTATCTATCGATTGCCTTTAACAGACATATGCAAACAATCTTTAGGTGGTACAAAACTTGTAAATAGCTTTGAAAAAAGCAAACATTTAGTAAACTAAAGCTTTTCGTCTGACACTCTTCAGAGTTCGTTTTCACCTTAGGACTCCATTGGTAACATTCTAATAGGCAAGCGGCACTGATTGGTCAACCTTTACAGTCATGTGCTCGCGTTTCTGATTGGCCTATTTCGATCCACAACTGGGTATATATATTTCTTAGCGTAGAGTTTTCGATCTATGTTCTGACGTTTTAAACTCTGAAGAGTGTCAGACGAAAAGCTTTAGTTTACTAAATGTTTGCTTTTTTCAAAGCTATTAACAGACATAGTAAGTCATTAATAGAAGATATTTCCCTCAAAAACTTAGAAAAATCGTTTTGTGTGCCAGTGAGTAAATTCCTTTGCTGGACTGCACTATGGGTGTTGATGCCCTTTGCAGAGAATATGATTTGGTTTATCGTGAAGATTTCCATACACGACGCGTTACGAGAACCAAGCACAACCCCCCCCCCCCTCCCCTCCCCCCACGAAAGGCTTCAATCTTACGATTTAATAACAAAGGAAGCATGGTACATAAACAAATTTGATGGATCGACTGAGTTAAAATAAAACACGAAAGAGATACCTAAAATTATAATGTTCTCTTGATAACTGTAAAAATGAGGTGAGGGCATTTCTGGGGGTGCTCCAAGAAGACATTGCTAGAGAGCTTAGGAGTCATGCCTTGTTAATTTTAGAAACAGGTCAATTTTTACTTCTTGTTATTGTTTACTGAGAGACTAAGTGCCTAAGCCCATTTTTCTTTCAAATTGCTGCAGAAACAAGGATGCAAGGAAATTTTGGGCTCCAAGGGGACATTCCTTGAGAACTCAGGAGTCAAACTCTGCTAGTAACAGTTTAATGTTTACTTCCTGCTATCGGGTACTGTGAGATGCTAGTTGCATAGGACCCCTTTTTCTTAAAAAAGTACTGCATCACGGAATCACTTTTCCCGAAGGCATTGTGGCAATGTGAATTTTTGGAAAAAAATGGATGAAAAGTCACTTACCAGCTGCTCACATTTGGTGACGTATAATTGTACGGTCTTGGCAATATTTCGTGCCAAAAGAATAAAGAGTTCTTGGTCAACAGTAGCAACGTTCAATTCACTGTGAAGAGAGAGTCAACAACATTAAGTCAATAGAGAACTGAAAGTAAAACCCTTTATTCTCTCTTCATGAGATGAAAATAAAGATTCTGGAATGGGCATTCGTTTTGATTGGAATTGTTTTGGCTAAGCAAGCACTAAAATCAAAGTGTATTTCTAAGAAAAGATTTATTCAAGGATAGAAAGGAATAAGAAAGGTTTTGACCATACACGGACATAACCTTGGGACAAAGTTTAACCGCGAAAACATTTCTGGTTTAGCAAAAGTTTAGCAAGAAGTGTCTTCATTCCATTTATGACTTATCTACAATAAGAAATAAATCTTAAAAAGAAAGAAAGATTTCAGTACCACAGTATCTCCAGCATAAGTTCTAAAAATACATCTTTAGGCCGTTAAACCCTAAACTCCAACATATATTCTTTTTTATGCTGAAATATCCTGGCTAAGAGCATTATTCAAAAAATTTTAATTGTGCTAAGTAAATGATAATGATAATATGCACAACATATAATTTTTCAAATAATGATTATTATGAGAACTGAATATTTATTCGAATAAAGATAGTTATTAACGTTAAAAACTCAGCAAACAATGAGAGTTGCATTGGCAAGGTTAACTTTCGAAGGTGTGTTGCAACTAGACATGAATACCAACCCTTGCGTGTTAATCAAAAAAGGGCCTAAGACTGTGTTGCATATTAAAACTGCTTTTTCTACAAATTAGGTGAATAATGCCAATATCAAAACTCCTAAAATGTTCTTTGACCTGCATTAACTGCTTTCAAAGAAATTAAGAATAAGACTAATGAATTTGTAAGCTTCGAAGCTGTTTGATTTGAGAAAATCAGACCAAACAAAATCTAGACCAGACAATGCACCATTCTTCAAAAATTTATCTCGAGCCGATTTTGTCTTAGAAGTATATTTCAGATGCGCAATTGATCAAACAGTATTTCACATGATTGAGTAAATAAAGATAAAGCTGTCTGAAATTTCAAGACATGCGTAATTGATCATCACAAATGACGTAATGTTTTGAAATGTTTTGAAAAAAACCTCCAGTTAGTCACTGGGTTTTGTCGCCAAAGAGATAAACATCGGGAAAAGAAATTGTCGAATCATATGTGAGGAAAAGAAAACAAATTCTTCTGACATGTCAAATGCTACAAACATTTAGAAATGTTTCACTTAATCAATTTTAATTGTAAAGAAGACAGAATGGGATCAGATGAGGGGGGTGACTATAAATATGAAGGACTATAAATACATTTGTGAAAGTAAATTACCATTTGAGAGCAATAACTTAATAAGATCTTAAGGAACCCTTAAAATGCTAATGTTACTTCCGCCTCATTATAGAAAATCAGTGAACACATTGTTCTCACTGCAATAGCTTTCATTTTGCGGTGTATCATCGATCCACATATTGCCCCGTATAACTTGGGCTGAAACTTATCTTGTTTTGATGAGTAGAACTGGACGGTTTCTTCCTCAATTCAATGCTTGCCAAAATAAATTGAACACCTTAGTAGTTTTAATCAATTCTCGACGGTTTTTTGATTCACACATAAAGATGGCTTAGCTGCCCCGTCCTCACTATCTCCTAACTAATGTTGATGACCAAAATCCATTTAGCGCATGAAAACGATTGGCAGGCATTGCAGCTGGTGAATTACTTTTTGGATAAGATAAAAATGGGCCAGAACATACTTGCCCCGTATCTCTACATAAGTATTTTTTCATCCTACCACTCTAGTAAAATAAACTAAAAATTACCTAGACATGGTTTTGATGATACTGTTCAGTTCATCTTTTGAAGGAACATTCTGCGCACCAGATGGAAACACCAGGTTGATGGGATCAAACAGTCTTGACAAGGATCTTGATAAATAAGCAGTTTCGAAAGTCATCAAAGAATTCTTTAGCATCAACCTAGCACTGAAAAGTAAATATTACGCTGTTACAATAGAGTAATTTTATAATGTGATAACAACAAAACGTATAGTCTTATTAACCAAAAATGAAATTATAAACAAAAGAAATTTCACATTGTTAACTTATGAAATGATTTAGCTTAAGAAATTGATTTTACGCAAGAAATAATTATCAAGCCAACTCATAAATCATTGATGCATCCTTGTGAGGATAATAATCCAGATACTTATCCGCTGAAATTAAAACATTTAGGTTTTTATAAGTTACGTCATATCTACTGATACAAACGCAGGCCTTTGAGGGTGCAAGGTTCAGTATTGTACGGCATTCAAATGGAGCTACTATTACAGCAATTACCATTAAAAATAGCTTTGAAAAAAGCAAACAAATTTAAACATGTTAATCTATTTTATCTGACACTTTTCAGCGTATAAACCGTCAGAATATAGATCAAAAACTAAGTTGTATACCCAGCTGTCGATCCAGACAGGCAATTAAGAAACGCGAGCACATGACTGTTGACGCTGCCCAATCAGTGCCGCTTGCCTATTTAACATATTACCCATGGATGCCTAGGTCGAAAACGAACTTCTTCTTTCTATATAATAACGGTTTTTCATGCTAATGTAGACAGATTCTAAAACTGCTAGAAAAAGCGGGGACCGAGCTCTTCCAATAATCAGAAATATGTCGCCATTATAGTTCTTGGCACAATCTGGGTCTTCCACTAAATGCTACAAGGCCGTTGGCACAAATTTTTGCTTCCTCAAAGCCAATTTAATTTTTCCACCACTAAAAAAGGATTCATGACGGTCATTCGCTATTGTCAATGTTTCATTCTATCAAGATAAAATGGGGAGAGGAGAGGGCCACAATTATATTTGCTGCTACGCTTCACTTTTCCAAAGGTGCGGCGTATCATTAAGAAAATCCACAGTAGGGTGAAGTAGGGGAAGTTCTTTGTCAGGTACAATAAATAAAATTCGGAGGACTCAAATAACAAAGCAGCTACATCAGGCAGACTTTGCGTTCTGTTTTCAAGTTAATTTAAACAGACGATGACCCATTTACATACAAAAGACATATTACATGCTCCTATCGTAAAAGTGACTTGACAACATCAAGTTTCATGATTCGTATTTACAACAGGCTACAAAAGCATCAAGGGGAAATGTACGTACTAATTCAAAATTGATCACATTTTTCCTCTAAACTTATTTATCACTCGCTAGCTAAACCTAGCAGCTTTAGATCCACGAGCGCACATAATACATAATCAAATACTTCGCATGGTTTTCAAGCACAATATTTGATCACCTGCAACGTTATTAAGTAGCAACAATGAAGTTAAGAATCTCTCTCCATGAGATCAGACCTTAAATCTAGATATGAAGACACTTTTTGATTTGCACATTTAAACCTCAACTCTCTGGCAGTCTTAGCTTTTTGCCTGGCATTCTTCAGAGTTTAAAATGTCAGAATAAAAGTCGAAAATTCATTTCTTTTAGCATACAATTTTCGATCATCATTCTGATGTTTGAAACTCTGAACAGTGTCTGAGGAAAGCGTTTGCTGTTTCAAAACCATTTTCAAAAAAAGAGCTAAAGAAAAGACGAGGAGAATTAAAAGGTTTTACTTTTGGCAACTGGAAACAGAACGTAGGTGATGAGAATCTGGAATAGGTTCCTTAGAACCAAAGAAACAAATTTTTTCTGAGCATATATTTAGCTAAACGATGAAGAATATGTACTGAAATTGAATTGAAATTAAATAGCTACAGAGTTGAATTGGATTACGTATACCTGCTCTTGGTGCTTATGTCAGCGGTAATACCAATCACGTGATCGTTGCTTTGTGCAGACAGTGACTGATTTGATTTGAATTGGGCTACACGTGCCCAGAGATCGTTGCATATCCGAAGAAGCTTCGGGTATTCCCCTTCAAAAGCTTGCTTTATAAACGTCGAGTCTGTGAAATATTGATACACATTGGTTAGAATAAATCACTAAATTGTAGCTAGAGTGTAGAACAACAACTAAGTTTTGGGTAGAAAGGATGAACAGTCTAAGAACATTTACAAAAGTACCTTGAGCTGTTAGAGTTTTCCTCGTTCCCTTCAACCCAGTCTACATGATCGACAACCAACAAAATTACTTCTAGAGAGGTTATTCATCATGAGCCAACAAATAGATGTGATACAGTGGCCACGCTTAGCCTCACCCCTATTACCTCAAGGTGAGTGTCCAAAACATTGCTTAAACCACTTTTCCAGCTTAGAGCCTTCCCTCCACACTTAAGCAATTTGACAGAACGACCACTTGCAGCCATAGAGTTCTAAAGTGTGACGTCACCAAAAACCTATTTTTAGAATTTTTGAATTTTAACCTCATAACATAAAAGATCATCAAGAAATACTTCCAAACATGCAAAAATTAGTCAAATATGTCGAGATATTACGATCAGTAAAATCAGTTGAGATATTACCAATCAAAGATTTGAAGTTTGCTAATGAATCACTGTTATTTTTTCTCTGCTCATAAGGTTATGAAAAGAGACCAAAATAAAGAGGTTTGATGGAGAAAGAGCCAATACACATGTGGCCATATCTGAGCCAATTCGTAGAACATTTGACTGATTTTGCATAATTAGAGGTATTTTATTACGCTCTTTCAGGCTATTGGATCAAAATTCAAAACTTCCAAAAATAGATTTTTGTGACGTTATCCCTTTAGAACTCTATTACTACAAAAAAGACATACGGTAAAGCCCGAGGGCGTTAATGAAATTTTTGTTCTGTTAAGGCGGTAAATAGAATGGGGCATTAAAATATTATTCAGACATCTAAAATTAACATTCAAGCAGATGCTCATAGAAGATCTTCAATATTTACCTTGTGCTGCCCGGCTCAAGCCATCTCCTAGTGTTTCGATTGCCATTGTCCAAAAATTATTTAAAATGATACTTCGCCCATCTTCACTGAAGTTTTCAATAAAATAAGAGTGAGAAACTGGGTCCTTCTTTTTGGCCAAGACTTTTTCAAGATGATAAACTTTTTCACAAAGTTCGTACGTCTTGTTTACGAGCTTATCCATTCTTGTCCACAGACCAGCTCTCCAAGCAGCGCTGCTTCCAGTTGTTGGCATCGTTGATCTTCCTGGCCCAGGCCCAGTTGCTAGATCAAAGACACAGCAGGGTTTTGTATTATAGAGATTTTCTGCGTTAAGTAGTTAGATGGTCTTGCTTAACAAATTTTATCATCAACTAATAAAGCATAGGAATGGCTAATGTCTGATAACCGCTGTATGGCGTGAAACACTGAGTAACAACAAAGAATTTAAACTGCATTTTTTCTCTCAATCCTGCCTTAGCAATGGATGATTGACTTGTTGATATGAAACTGTCAAATAAATATTATCATGTCTCAATTGTGCCGTTTTTCAATGTGCCAACTTTTGTTTCCTTAGATTTTAGGACTCTGAGGCATTCTTGCTGAACCCGAAAACGACCAGCTATGGCCACCGCTCCCTATTTTAATCTTTCTGTCGTATTAATTAAAACGGTTGTATACAATTCTTGCTTATACACCTTCAGCAATCTAAAAGTCTAAGCAAGATATTTTCTGAAGTTTTATAGCTCTTTTCTTGCTAGCAGCTCTTTTGTAGTTTATAGCCCTCCTATTTAAAGAATCAATGATGTCCCCATAAGACAGAGGTGCTCCATAATGGATATTAAAACTGTTCACGTGGACAAGCACCTGTACACACAGGATAACCAGCATAAAGGAAATATTAAATGACTGAAGACAAACTAACCACAAAGTAATCAAAACAGTGTATGTATCAGAACCGTTAATACTCAACAACAGCAACAGTGAGTTTTCAAAAGAAACAGAATTCTAGTTTGATATAGCGAAAAGTTCGTAACAAACAGGGTTCATAATGGCGGGGAATCGTTACACAGGGAGTATTCCGAGGGACCAGACATTTGGTTTATAATAACGAGACGCTCGTAATAGCAGGGTTCGCAATAGCGGGGGGTTCGTCATTCAGGGAGTATTACCGTGAAAACAAACTTTCAGTTCGTTATCGCGATAAGTTTGTAATTAACAGGGTATGTAATAGCGGGGTATGCAATAGCGGGAGTTTGTTGCATTGGGGTATTCCAAGAGACGAGACCTTCAAACTATAATAGTAGGACGTTCGTAATAAGCATGGTTTGTAATAGCAAGGCTCATTATATCGAGGGCTAGTTGTACGAGTAAACCAAAATGGAAAATGGAACATTCAACATGGAACATTGAATGAATTGCTACAAGTAAATCATTCATGGTGGCTATTTTTGTCCCTAACGTGTGGTCGGGCACACCATTCTTCGACAACTAGTAATTCTTTTGTGATTTTGGCATCATGAAAATAAGAAGACTTTGGGCAATCCTGACACAAAACATAATTCTTAAATGGTTCGGAAATTTGGATCAAAAAATGGCCAAAAAATGTTTGGTCTATTAATCATGAGAACATACAGGTTCAATTTTGAATTGTGACCTTTAGCTGGCAACAAAAAAATTGTTTCATTAAGAAGAATAAAAGATTTTAATGAAATTGAACTTTCCAGTCTAAGATAGAAAATTTTTGTAAAATTCACCTTGGTTTGGATTCATCTTTTGCGGATCAAAAGTATCAACAACCAGCTCCTGTAGATTCGCTGAATACTTGGAGACGACTTCATCGACTCTGTCTTGCAGTAAGCCGAGATTGTAAAATACCTGTAAAGCTGTACCAGTCTGTGTTTGATTCTATGCAAGGAAGAGAGTTACAAAAACACTATGCATATAAGAGGAATTGTGCGAGTTTATATATTTACTTAATGATTCTATGTTGAATAATGCAACAAACAGGCTTATAGAGCCTCTCTGTGCAGAACTGAAATAATGGTGCACTGAAATACCATATACAAAAGACCTGACAAGAATAAATGTTTTAAGTGTGATACTTTATCGAAAAAGGAGTTAAGGTTTTGATCATAAGAGTAACGGCATAGAATGAATTCCCTAACCGAAATCCTACGTTAAAAGGGCAGCAACAAGGGACGGGGGTTAAACTCTCCTATTCTTGTTCCAAAAGAAAGGGATATGACAATATTTATTAGGTAAAAAACCAGTTGTTGACATTTATGATATGTAACAATGAAGTATATGCTAAGGTACCATAATTCACTGTCTCTTTAGTTCTCAACATTTTGCCAAAGTCAATATTTTAATCAAGAAGACCGTGAAGACAACACGATACTTGTGTTAGCATAAGAGGCTGAACTACGACAAATTTAGAGCAAAGAGGATAAAATCTTGCAACGTTTTAGATGGATAGAAGACAATTCCTTATGCAACAAAAAACAAAGTTTAACACAATTATGCGGCATAAAAAGCTGAGAAACTGATTATTAGAATCAGAGTGCTGGTTAACTGAAAATGGAAATGGGAATCAGTGATGCCGTTCAATCATCTTAGAGCTTTTTGGGGCATGAAATGAAACACACTTGAAAGAAGAAAAAAAAGGAAGAAAACTTATCTAAAACCCTGGATTGTCACAGTAATTGCAACGCCATTTTATCCGTGAACCCCTCTTCTACACTTACACTGTACGAAAGCCATTCATACTTTTAACTACAAAATACGAATTCGCATGGCCAAATAAAACGTCAAAAACAAACTCAATCTGGTGTACCTGATTATCCAGACCTTGGTCCAACATAAGATTTGCCTGGTTCTCGACTTCTTCCCTAGCTTTTTTTATCAACTCAAGATCATTTTTGATCAGCTGCAAAGCAAGTTTAAAACTTTAAAATTTAAAAAAGAAATCTTATCGAGAAGAGATGCAAAAAGAACGTTTGATTTGTTTGAAGTTTTAATTTTCATCTAATATTAACAGAGGCGGGACAATACTAAGCATGGGAAACTAATCCAAAAAATAGTAGTACTTTGTTTGAAAATAAACAATCTAAATTGCACACATTTCAATTCTGTATATATTTATATATACTTGCAATATAGAATTAATCGCAAAATACCACATTTTTGGTACCGGTTTCATCTGATCGTGCAGAATCCTCAGCTAATTTTCTTTGTTGGCTGAAGATTCTGCATGATCAGATAAAACCGGTACCAACAATGTGTTATTTTGCAATTAAATCTATATTGCAAGTATCTATCAACTGCTTTTTGCGGAATATCAACATTGATCTATATTTATATATATTTATATATATGCCTATTTATCTACTTCATTGATTTTAACATATTCTTTAACCGAGATAGCTACGATAGCTAACATGGACGATGAAAACACATTTAAAGAATACCTGTATATCTGACAAATCTTCACCTTCGAGAACATGGTCTGCAAAAAATGACGAAATCAGTACTTTTCTTATATGTGAACAAAGTAATAGAATCAAACAGAAAAAAAAATAAAATTGTAACAAAAATCTTCAAGATTATTGTCGCTTATTGGTTTTACGAGGCATTCATATTTGCATTCAAGTATTGTGGCCGAGATATTAAAACAAATAAAATATTGTGGCCGAGAAATTACGTTGAGCAACAGGAAAATATTTTACTTCGCATAAAAGAGGAAGCAAATAAGAATTCTAATAGCTAACAAAACAAATTAGATCAAAAATGTTTATAACTCTTAAAAAGAAAGTAGATTGCAAAATAAGCCTAAGATTTTAACAACAAAAAAGTTTAAAAAAAGCTACTAGAAACCACCCAACTCCCCAAATCTCTATCTCCTTATGCTCAAAGAGATGTTGCCCTTAACAAGATACTTCTGGCAGGCAAAGTACAACAACGAAATTCATACCGAGTTCATTCAGACTTTGAGCTGCCTTGGCAATTTCTCGAACGCCTGCTTTCAGTTGCATTTGTAGTCTCTTACCAAGATGAAATATCCGAATTACCCGACGTAAGATGTCACATGCATTCTAACAACATAAATAAAAATCATTCATTTTTCTCAGTCATATGCAAATCAGAAAAGTTAAACTATGTTAGACCTTAGTTTAAAAATATATATCAAAGGGGGTAATCAAGAATTGCACGAACAAAAACAGATAAAAATGTGGGTAAAGGAGGCATCTGGGGCCCTAAGGAAAATTTTGCCACGCGATCTCTACTTACAGATTGCAAGAAGATCCAATCTAAAGGTGTAAAGCACGTCAAACACAATTATTGCTAAGCAAAATGTAAAAATGATAATTTTTTCTCGTTAGCTAGGGAGAGGTGAGTTATAGAGTTTCAGTTGAAGAGCTTTAGAAGTTTTGGAAAGTTATTGAACTTGAGCAAAGTTTGCAGTTTGCAGTGTGGAAATCCAACGGAAATTCACCTGAAGTCTTCTTAGCTGCCTTGTCCTAGACGCAATGCGATTGTAAGGATCTGTGATTTGAACTTGTACCCTAAAGTAAAAACATTAGAGTTACGTTTTATTTTCAAGATAGGCAGTTGCAAACAAACTTGATTCCTTGAAATAATTATAAAGAAAACTTACAGAAATCTTGATTCATGCTGAAACAGATTTAGTTTTAGTTAATCTTAGTATTTTCAAAGGTCACATTTAAGCCTACATTCTAGTAGCTATGGGAATGGGTATGGCCTTTTTGGAATCTATAAACTAAAACCAAGCTTTCTTTTCATAATCTGCATAAGGAAGAAAACATTGAATGGCCATAGTCTTGTGGAAAAAATATGATTAGTGAATTCATTTCAATGTTCCCTTTGTTATGTTAGCCCATAGCAGTATTCTTGGCACCCTTTCTTGCGAGCAATACCTAGCCAAAGTTTGGAACTGAGGATGAAACGAATGCATATGAATAAAACCAGACACTGCCTACCTTTCTACTGAGGTCTTTAGAGAATGTATTCTTCCTTGAATGCTCTGCAGTACACCTAAAAAATTCTCAGTTATAGATAACATGATATACATTGCACAAAATGAGCCATCAGTAGCAAAACAGTTTACAAATCAATAGAAACATTTAAATTTGAGCAAAAGAACAAGATTGTTTTAAGTTTCAGCTTGGCATCTCATTGACATCCAAACTGAGAATTGTATTCTTTTGAATTAGAATGGTGGGGCTTATTCAAGGGTGGGGCTTTTTCGAGGGGGGGCCAATTTGAAGATTTACGGTAAATGTATAGTTACCACAGATCTACCAATATGATATTGATTATTATCAAACAGACAAGTATTCAGTCACTGTGATATTTGTGATGAGCAATAAGGACATACTTTCCAATGTTTCAATGCCTGTTGCTTGGGACAAAAGATCTTCATGGTGTGAAGATACCTGCAAAATTGAATAAGTCTACAGTATGGACAGGGAAATAAACCTGATTTTGAAAGGGCGAGACTAACAAAATACAAAGTTCCATTGACAAAAATGGTTGATACACAATCCCCTGAAATTTAAAAAGTATATAATTTAAAATATGCTACAGCAATAAAACATATTGCATGCTTTTGAGAACTGAACTTTTGTCTAAAATACTTGAAAAAACATGAATTGCTGATAATATTACCTGATCTCTGATTTCTTTATCTAGAAGATTGATACCATCAGCTAACTTTGCAAGAGATTCCCCGATTGCTCTACTCTGTATGATTGTGTTTGCATATGACTTTGGGTCAAATGAATCCTCCAAAAACTTACTAAAGGTGCCTGGAATAACAATAAAAAAAATATTTCAAACAAGGATGCTAACGCGAACACCTAAAACGCACCTTAAAACAACCATTGAGACTAATTTAAAGGCAGTCTGTCCCCTCAATGATTGGCTTATCTTAACAATTGGTTTTCCCACCTAAACAAATTACACTGCTTGCATTTGATGGCCTAGCTGCGGTAGTGGACAACATTTGAAAATCAAGCAAAAAGCTAATGGCAAGAGGATCTAGGTTACTGGAAATGAATGATGATAATGGAAACATTTCTTTTTGTTATTGACATATCTGTAGCACAAACCAAACAGGGAACAAAAATGTTTCATTTCCATTGGATGCAAAATGTTTGATATTTTTCACTGAGAAGACATACCTTGACTTTTCTAGGTACTAGGTAGGGTAGTAGGCTTTTCTAGCTTGTTTTAAGGAGCACCTTCATTTTGCCCAGAGCAAGGCCTGATGTCAAAGTATAATATTTAATGGAAACACATTTGATTTGAAATCAATTAAATCAAACTATTCATTCTCACTTACACTACAACTCACAATACAGTGTAACATGTCTTTAACAAAAATAATTTCTTAGAAATTCTTTGAAGATAAATTTGATATATCTGTGTTATTATACAGGGAAAGCTGTTTCAGATACTGCTTTGAAGTGCTGTGAATGGGTATTGAAGTGAAAAATAAGCTTTTGGTATGAAAACAAGAGGAAATAGAAACTTAGTTTAGTGCAGAAGAAAACATAAAATATTATCTTATTAAAGACTTAAATGATTGTTTGTGATAGGTCTAAAGCAGGGGCACGCACCGTGCAGCTGTTGGGCTAACACCCCCCCCCCTGCCACTTTATTCAATAATAGGCTAGAAAATTTTTAGGAAGGTTTAATCTAACGCAACTTTGTATAGTTAACTCCAGTGTAGTAGCAGTTCTTTTTGACTGGGAACTTTATTTGTTCATTTTATAGGTGTTTTATCTTGTTTAATGACATGATGTATTTTCAAACTTGGTTAGCTGGTGTTTTGTTACCCTCGAGCTAATTTTATCTATCTTTATAGTTATTGATATCTTCTATGAACCAAAATGTTTACAAAAATATACTAGAAATAAGCAAATATTTTGTAAAAGAGGTGTTTTCTGGCGTTCTAGAGGGCGTGGCCTTTTGGTCACACCCATTTCAGCCTGGTGCGCTTTTAGACTGGTGTGCAGTTCCTGATCAGGGGTGTAAAGCATATCTAGGAGTTTGGGTTTGTTTATCTTCAAAAACGTGCAAAATTATTTTGCTGACATCATTAATTGCACTTTTTGCTAATTATTGTTGTTTCATTTTGTTCATAAAAGCTAGTATAATCTTTTAAAACTAACAGGATGTAAGTTGCCATTAGACCTTTGACTCTTTTTTTTTCCTGCACCTCAACTTTAATGGACATATCCTTAGTCGGTTTTTTAGCTAAAACAACACAAACACCACAAAACATTATCTCTTGTGAAGCTGAACTAGTTAAAGCCACATTCAAAGCTTACAGATGAACCATTACATGGCATTTTTCATGTGTCAACTACAGTCGACTATAGTAACAGTCACACCAAATGTTGCTTAAAAATTTGTGACTGTCAACAGAATGAACTTTAAACAAAACAAAATTGAGTAGCTTTGCATAATTTCTAGCAACTGTAACCTGTAAAATTGTTAAAGCAGAGTGACTATAAGCAGGGTCGACTGAACCAGTTTAATGTGTGATATGAATATACTTTCTGCAAACAGTTAATTTAACATTTTGCATTGATGACTTTTTTCTAACAACTGTTTCTGCTTCTTTTGATATAATTTTTCATGTAACCTGTTTACCATCAATTTTGCAGACAATTTATGTAATTATCCACTTGACTCGCCTGATGTAACTATGCCAAACATAGAAATATTGTTTAACCTATATAAACCTATCAACCTAGACAACCCTGGTCTAAAACACATAAAAAAGTTTTTCGCAAACAAAAATTGAAGTGTTCAGTGTGCATTAGTCAGCAAGTGTGTATTTTAAGAGTGCCCCTTCTTAAAGCTGTCAATTAGCATCCACCTAGGGTGACTTTTGTTCTCCAAAAACACCAGTGTCTGCAGAAGCAGTGAAGTCAGGTGCACACTTGACTGATTCTTGTCCAACAACTTTACTCTTAGCATGCACACTAAGCCCTTCAGTGAATCAGTTTTAACTACCTGTGCTTGCTGAATTCTCTTTCACCCGACCCAAAATTTTCAAAAAATTTCCTAAAATCTGATTGGTGGCATTTTGAAATTTCCAGAGCATTTCCTTCACTCAATTTTATTGTATTTGACAGACCACAAAGGCTAGAATCCAAAGTATTGTGAGCTACCATGGTTGTCAGCAACTATGGCATTCTGAGGATGGCCAGAAAATTTGCAACTATGGCATACACAAAATTTGCAACTATGACACACACAAAATTTGCAACTATGGCATTCTGAGGATGGCTAGAAAATGGGTCCTGAAAATTCACAGCATTGATTGGGAACCATGGATCCTAGGCAAACATTCTATCATAATAATTCTCCATAGTTATTTTTGGTTTGATTATGACATGAGGAAAGAAAAACTTGTAAGTACAAAAAATTGAACATGGTTTGAACGAAGGCAGGAATTGAAAAACACAACTTTATGGTCTCAGTTGTCTTCCAAAGCGTGACTTCAATGAAAGTCGCAAGACCTGCTTCATCCAACTTGACCAGGTGAGGGCCCCTGCCCCCAGTGCAAATTCATGAAACATTGAAATATATCAATCTACTTCTACGACAGTTAGTAACACTATCTTTGTACAATTATTCATATCTATTCATTTCTTTTCTTACCGTCATCTTTCAGCAATTCCAAAATATCAAGTGATTCTCCATCTTCCGCCATCTTGAAACATGGCACTTTTGTTGACGGTCTCGCTTTCAAAACGAGATTTGGGCTCGAGGGAACTAACACAAATCGAGGGGCTCATAGAAAATTTCCCGCTTGATCATTAGCCCCCTCCCCCCCTCCCCCCCCTCCAATAAAATACTAAACTTCATATTGAATGTACCAATACAGTTAAAGTGATTCATTTTTTTAAATTGGTCAGGTGGCAATAGACGTATTTCAACCAAACTTAGAGAGACTAAAAAAGGTAACTATTTATACGTATCTTATAAATAATTAAGTATCAAACCTTTACAATAGACTTCTATAGAATAGTGTATTGCAAACATTATTCATTAAACATGGTCCCTCACAAATGACCCTCGCATTATTTCTTGGAACTGAACAAGGGAGACTTTTAAGTTTCAAATCGGCTACTTTAAAAGATCCTATGTTGCTAGCCATAGGATTATTATTTTTGTCGAGTAGTTTTGTCTGGAGTGGCTAAAATCTAATTTCAAAACTAGCCTTCTACAATTTGACTTTTGGGACGGGTGCTGCCCTTGGTTCTTGTGTTCTATCCCGGCTGGGATGGCACATGTGGCAGGTGGTGGCGGCGGTTTTCGTCTGCGGGTGGGGGTCTTCTGTTCCTTGTCCTGCATTTGTTTCTTTCCTGGATTTATACCCACTGATATCGTTACCTGACATAACATCTAATGTGAGACAGAAACTTAGCATTCCTTTGTAGTTTCTTTTTATTTAGAACATTGTCAAATTTTGAATTGTAAGTGCTTTTCATGGTGGGAACTTCGATGACCTGGAGTCTATTCCCGCCATGAAAGGCACGGTAGTTGTATGTTATTGAGTTTTCTTCATTTAATGATTGCATATAAGAAAAAGCTTTCTACATGATGGGTGCCATAAAAGGACACTTTTCTGGATGCCTTTAGAGTTTATAACGCCACCACGATGTACAATCCTTGCAAAACTTGAGAGAAAAGTGCTGCTTATAAAAGATACTTAGCATATGCAGCTGATACGGAGACGAGGATTTAAAACATTAATGGTTATCAAGAACTAGTTTTGAAAACAACAGAAAACCATATCGTTGAAACTAAAATCTTTACACACCTTGGCACTGATACAGAAACAAGGATTTGAAAATAACCGGTTTTCAAGAACTCGTTTTGAAAGCAACAAAGAAATGACGTCGATGAAACAAAAATTGAACTGAAATTGTCTGATTAACTACTGTTGCAAAAGTATGAGAATAAGCTCTACACCCTTATTCTTAGACGAATAAACATTTGTTCTGTTTGTAGCTTGGAGTTGTCAATTTTACAATTTCCAACGTACAAGGGAATCGTTTGGCGGGCTTTGCTGCTAATATCTAAAACTTTAACTTTGAACCATACTGCTGGGTAATACAAAAACTTGATACGTTAGCTTAGTATAAAAATATTAAGAATAACGACAAAAAATTTAAACGATAAGAATATGATATATTGAAGATATGTTTAAATATAGCACTTAAATGTAGCATGATAATAGCCAACAATAATCCGAACCAACTGAATAGAAATTACAAGTAAATGGTGAAATTGAATTAAAACTAATAAAAATCGTTTAGTGAAAGCATATATCAGAAATAGCAGCTTATAAACGACATAATCCTAAACTTGCAGATATTACTAAAGTACAAAACTCTTTAAGGACACCGAAATCCCGGAGCATTTAAAGGATAAGAGGGTTTAAAAGTGCAGTGCTCAGTCGCCATGCTGATAGAAGCAAAGTGATTTATTGTATGTTTGTTTTTGGGTCCCTTGCTTTCGGGGTCTCTACAACAGGATCACTACAGATCTCTATATAATATTTACAGTTTTTAACTCGTGAGAGATGGTTCTTCACTTTCTAATGTAACATAATTACTCTCTTTAAAACTGAATTGCTGCGCCGTCTTGAAAAAAGCAATGTTTCCAAGGAGTATCACCGGATCACCTGACTATTTCAGTGCGAAGTAGGTGCCCACGGTTACGAGTACAATAAAAGCAACTCCTCCGCAGGTGATGGCAACAATAACTTCCCACGAAAAGCCTTCATCTCCGCCTTGGCTGCTGTACCCTGTGCAATTTAAAAGAAAATACGTAAAAATTTTTCTCTGAGTAAAGTTTCTTTGCTTAACAAGCATTTTGCAAACACAGGAGATATCAGAAATAGTTTAGAGAGTGCAAAGTAGGCAGGGAAGCAAATGTTGGTAAAATTTGTTTACTGTAGCAGTAATGGATGTTGTATAATTTTCAAATAGTTATTTTAAAATCACTGTTATTCTAAAATTTTATATGCATTTCTTTCTAGTAGGTCTTATTAAGTTTAGATTCCACTTGCATCTCTATAAAAGTTCCATAAAAGTTCCATAAAAAGTTCCATAAAATTTTAAACTATTTTACTTAATTGATAAACGACTGAATCACTCTTAATACATAGTTGTCTAGCTCTATTCCTTCCTTTCAGCAAATCTAGTTTTCTCGTTATATGCCATTACATTTTCTCGGGTATTTCGGGAAAAACTGTTGATCAGGGATAGGGCCTAAAACCCCTAAAACTAAACAGGATCTTACCTGCATTTATGTCCAAAGTAACTTTTGAAAGGAGGCTGCCAAATAGATTCCTTGCCATGCATTGGAAAACGCCACTTGTTGAAACGTTTGCACTCTTGACAACCAAAAACCCAGCTGAAATTTGGTAGGAAGTACTAGAAGGACAAAGAAATAAATACATTTTAGAAATACACTTCACATTCAAAGGTCATATTGATATCTTTGTTTCTATTGTGAGGGTTCTCTTGGAATCAGCAAATTTTCCACCAAATTAATTCACCAAAAACCATAGTCTTCTACATGCATAAGTGAGCGTATTAAATTCAAGCTACAGGTGGTTTGCATTTTATGCAACATGTTCGCTATTTAAGCATAAGCTTTAAAGGGCTACAGTTCAAAGAAGCAGTGCAGCCCTACGATTGCTAGGACTATCCTCTCAAATGTTTCGTACAATCCTACTCAATGGAAATCGTGCCTCGAATTCATAGTAACTGGAGACAGCACATTTCCAGAAAAATATTGCAATTCAGGCTAGGTTATATCAGGTATTGGAGTCAGTATAGCAGGACGAAAACGAAAATGACGTAGATTAAGGAGGCGATACCAAACTTCGTAGATTTCTCAAAGTAAATAAAAGAACATTCCCATCATGTCAAGGGAAGTACTTTCATACAAGCTCTTTATTTTAGGTACATAGCATTCGATACTTTGCATAAAAGTAAAGACAAGGGAGGTAAAGGGAAGTAAAGATTGAAAGACTGTATATGAAGTCTAGGAACTGCTTCTTAGCCCGTTTTTAACTGCAACATAAAATTGACGCTGCGAGCGCTCTAATAGCAATCAAAAGATTTTAAACCCACTTGGACCAAACTCTCTCGCCATTTCGAAACCACTGGTAGAAAACTGGCAAGGTTCCTGACGAAGCAGTGCAATTCAGTTTAATGTCAACATTAGGTCGTGATTTAACATCGTTAAGTATAAAATTTCTTGCAGGAGGGTCTGAAATTCAAAGAAAAATTGAGGTAATAGACTTACTCAAGAATTTTTCAAAGATACTAAAGAACTTTTTACCTTGATAGCAAGGTAAAGGCAAAACAAGGCAAAAATGCAAAACAATGAATGATGGAAATGAAAAATCATTTTAAAATCTTCATGTCACAAGATCTACTTTTTTTAAAAATCAAGTGTTTGGGTCAAACAGCATGAAAGAGAATTACAAAGTACAACTAAATGTGCAGAATTAGCCAAACTTTTAACGAATTGGCTGAGATATGGTCTCATAAGCATGTATCTTTTCCGTTCTTTCGGTATCAAATCACTGTTATTTTTTATTGGTTCTAAGCTTAATGAGCCACACCAAAATGACAGGAATCTATTTCGAAAGTGCATCTTTCATTGACCATATTTCACCCAATTACTAGCATATTTAACCAATTATGCACCTTGAGATGTGCTTTATAGTCTTCGTTCAGACTCTTGTTATAATAAGGAAAAAAAATTCCTTTAGAAAAAGAAAAGATTTCTGATGACATCCTTCGGGGTAACATGAATAGGGCCTATCTCAATACAATGAGGAATCGTAGTAAAATACTAAAGCTGTATATATTTGAAAACCATTCAGCCCAAATCACATTTGATACAGACATAAGGGCACCCATATCTTGATGAAACGATTATCTATAAACCTATATTACTTCAGTTCATGATATCAAAACTGCAATAACTTATGAGGACTTAAAGATATTGATGTCGATGGACAACTTTTTACCCATAATTTGACTCTGATACTAATCGTAAAATAATTCTAGTTTTGAATTCTATAAATTAGATGAGCTATCGGTCACATGTGACCAGCTTGCACTGTGCAATAAGTAAATTAGCAAATCCGAAAATAGTCGTCTCTGATACTTATCAGTTGCAACGCAATACAGTTGGCTTTTCAGAGATATGTCAGGGTTTTGGACTTAAGGATTCGTATAGTCAGACTTACATTCAACACTAAGCCGCGAGTCGGATCTGATTCTCCCAAGACGATTTTCAACCTGACAGTGGTACAAGCCAGCACTTGCTCTTGCGATTGTTTTAAGCGTCAGTTTTTGACCCTCTGGACTGATTGTTATGCCAGGAGTATCGGTTCGAATAGCAACGTTGTTGAAATACCACAGGATCGAAGGGTTTGGTCTAAAACAAGAGAACATAGAAAACTTGTAGTCAGTAAAAAAGTCAGTTGTTACTACACCGAGTACAAAGTAAAATACTATATAAATGCAGATTTGAAACGAATATGGCAACAGAAGTATCTATTACATAAAGGTTGCAGAATATGAAAAACAAAGGATAGTCAAGGAAAGAAAGAGTGATGGGCTTAGAAGTCGCTTGAAAAAGCGGGGACCCAGGAGTTTTTAGCTAGCTCTCTCCTCGATTAGTCTACCTACTGAGAGAGCTCCTCCTTAAGAAATTCCTCTCCATACGAAACTCTATGTACTCTTATTGTAAAATTTGTCATTTTTTGTCATCTGTTATAATTTGTTACTCTAGTTAATTGTATGTATTTTAGAAAGATTTTTGTATGTAGTGGAATTTAAAAATTAAACTGAACTGAACTTCGAGGCTCCCTCCCTGGGAAACAAAGAGAGATGTGGTCATTGCATAATTTAACCATACTTCTCTCCTATCAATGCAGTGTCAACTAAATTGCGTACAAAGAATGCATTCCAAATGTGACATTTCAGATTACTGAAACAATCAATCTCATCAAATTTTTTTGGACATGACATTCTTCTACCGCTGCTTACATAGGCATTTACTGTATCGATAACAAGATTTACTATGGCAAAAAAACAAGTGTCCTTTGCTTACTTAAAGTTTTTAATGTCTTTTAACAGTTTGCTAACATAGATTCATTATCAATTAACTTTGAAAAAGGCAAGTTTGCACCTTTGTTCTAAAAAATAACCGTATGAAAAATACTTTAAGCAATGAATTAGAGCTTTTCCGCTTGAAAAAACAAATGTTAACTTACTTTCCTCCTACGGCACAGAAAAAAGTATACGAAGAACCAATTCCAGCTCGAACTAACGTTGGAAGTTTCTCTCTGAAGACTGGTTGGAAGTCGGATACAATGGCTGAGAAGAGAAACAAGAGTAAAACCATTGAAGTACACTTGAAATGGTGTCAAATAAAGGAACAAACTGGCTGATATTTGAATCGCATAAAAGTGGCTGATCCTTTTAGGGTTCTAGCTAAAAAAGTGAATCAATTCCTGCTCAGTTTCCTCACGATACCAGCTTTCTCCTTTTAGGAAAAAGCAATGCCGTTGTGGAAGATCACTTCATTTATATGAAATTCCTAATTGCTTTGGTGCATGCTGGGAAACTTTCACTTCAAAGCTGTTTGCCAACTTCAAAGCTTTTTTCTTTTACCTTATTTTTCTTTATTTTGAGTGAATATGTGTGCACTCTTGTTATCTAAACTTTCAATCACATAGCTCCAAAATTCAAACAAAATATTTCTTTTCAATGCAAGTGTTTGCATAACATTCAATCCAACTGTTTTAATGTCCTCTTTTTGGTGGCTGAAGAAAAGATATGCCCTAACAAACTCTCTGTAGCACTGCCCATTATTGCTCCGTTTGTAGTTATGCTGGAACATCGAAATATCGTAGCATTGCAAAAGTATTTATAAAACTGTAGTATTTTCTACAATGTGGTTAAGTTGTATTTGACACTGGTTAATATAAAAAACATCCAATACCCCTCCTTGCTTTATTTATAGTCTTTATGAATTTCTAAAACTAAAAACAAAACAGAGGGCGGTATATATGTTCTCTAACACTCTACTGAAAATTGATTGCTGAATTCTGAAAAAATTTCATGTTTAATGCAATAAACTTCTTCTTTCTACTGCCCCGGACATCTCAAAATTTGGTAGAAACACGAATGCATCTATATGACGTCAGTTGCCTGATGATTGCATTAAGCGTGAAACTTAGGGAGCAGCGTAGAACCGTCTTGTTCTATACACCAAATAGCGTGTACAGATGTGCCCATACGACATCGAGCACTTAATGACAGACCACTAAACGGTAATTTTCATTATATAACGTCATAGACGACCAAAAAAATTAATTGTAGCATTATTGCACCTACCTCCTTGTTTCTTCAATCTGAATTTAACTGAAGGCCTGTACTTTCCAAGTATATACAAAATACAGCTCACTCCTCCGAGTTTGTCATTGATTTCTGTTATATCAGACTCTTCCAAATACGAATAAAACAAATTCCCGTTGGATAAGACATATCTTCTACTGGTGGCATGCAAGATGACAGGGGTTCCAGCTTTAGGTATGCTACCCCAAAGGAAATTTGCTGGAGAAGTGAATGAATGAGGAGGGCACCGTAATTCCACTGGACGCCCCACGGTCACGTCAACTACCTTGACTGGATCTATGTCTCGATTTGGTTGTGAAAAGAAGCCAAGAACTGTTAAAAGAAAAAAAACAATAACAGATACTGTTCTTGGAATTTGTTCTTTGTATTGCTTTATATATTAAAGTAAAATGATTCCTTATAGAAATTTTATCACGCACAAACTGGATTTCTCATACCAAACAAGATACCTAAACATCATTAACAAATATGTCACCCAAAGCAAAAGCTGCAGGCAAATCAATTGCAATATTGTTTTGTAAATCATGAGTTAATTTTGACAACCATAAACATTTTTCTCGGAGTCTACACTAGGGCATAAAGAAACTCTCTTCTTGAAAATACAGCAAGCTGAATTTAATGCTATAAATTTGGTGCAAAAAATTATCAAGAAGCATGCAAATGCAGAGCTGCAAGATACATCAAAACTTTACAAAACGATACATTTAAGCGTTCTTAACAAATAAAATAGAAGGGTCAACATTTATTAGGTCAAAATAATTTCTATAATATACAGGGAAACTCCCGCTGAAAAGCACTTTTCGATAGAGGAAAACTCCCAATACAGGAAACCTTACAAAACAGACACATAGCATCCAAAAATCCATAAATCCATGAGATATTTTATGTTGTCCTTTAGGGTTTTATGGTCAAAATTTTAAATTCCTACAAACAAATTTTATGATGCGTAAAAATAACGGGGAGTGGTCACATAAAAAACAAGACTCGGTGTCCAAAACCCTATTTCCAGATGCTTGGTAGATACAAAAATCGTAAGACGTCGATTCTTAGTTAACTTAAAAGGCCTCTGTTACTTTCACATGGTTCTGCAGATTCTTTGTAGTAAATAGGAGAAGAAAAAGAAAATAATATCTTTCCATCCTTCTTCTCTGTCAAAGAACTTTTATTCAAGCTAGTTCAGCTCGATATATACTAATACACTCCTATTGGTTAATACACATCATCTATTGGTTGCAAGCAACATAACAGGGGTTCCATTCATTGAAGCCGCATCTCAAGAGTTAAAACAAAGGAGACCGAATTACAAATAAAAAGGTACGTTATTGAGTAGTTTAATATTCTAAAGTTACGGGGGTACTCTCCAACGCCAGCTGCAGGTAAAATCTGTCAAAAGAAATATTATATCTGTCTAGAACTTTGAGGAAACTCCGAAGCTTACCCCTAATTTTTATATCGATTTCATCACTGAGAACTCCACCATCTTTGTTTCTTGCTCTGCACTGGTACAAACCACTGTCTCTGGCGTAATCCACTCTTCGAATCCTTATTGAATTGCTATTTATCAATGTTGTTGTGCTTGCAACAAGTTTCGTTCCATTTCTCAGAAAATCAATTGCAGGCTCAGGGTTCCCTGTGGCTGTACATTGCAACGTCAAAGTTTCGAGTTGGAATGGTATCAGATTAGCCGGCGGTCCAGTGAAGCTGGTTATTTGCGGTGGTCCACCTGTGATGCGAATGAGTATTAGAATAAAGGTAATGTCCTAAGGGCTGTTTTCAATATCAAAATTAATACAAGAGTCATACTTTTCTTGTTTGTAAGTAATTCTTTATTATCCTATTCGTATCTTATTTGGCCTGTGACCATATCTTCTTACCCATGAGTGCATGTAATTCATCACATTGTACTAGAGCAGTGGCGTAACGGACTGAAGTTACTTTTAGTTCGAAAACTAGGGGCCCCATCCTTTAAGGGCCCTCAGCAAAGATGCTTTCTGTGTTATTTTACTGTGAATGTTAATGGCTAATGTCGACTGAGAGATGGCTTAAGCCGCTAAATATCTGTCGACTGCCTTAAAGGCATTTGACATGCATAAGTACAGCGAATCCAAAATAACTTAGGCCAAATTGATCAGAGCACGCGCACAAGACGGAAACTGTTCACAAGTTTTTCTCTGTGCGCAAATTGATTGGTCAAACGCTGTTGGTCGAGTGGCTGTAAGCCACTTTTACCTGTGTCAAATGCCTTTAAAGATAAACGATTCTTAGTTGTGAATAAGGCCCTGAACGCACTGATTTCTGACATAAAACTCTTTATCTTTGACAAAGTGAAAAATCGAGAAAACCTTTTCAAGTTTGACAAAAAGAATCCGATTTCCGCTTGGAAATTCGAGCGCTCTGCAGTTGGTGTGTAAAATGGTTGTTTGCTGTTTGGTTAATATGAAGAGGTATAAAACAAAGAACGATTTGACTTTGGGTATTCTGTAGCGCCAGAAAAATGCGTTAATTGCTAATCATTTCCGTTTTCCAGAGTTCTTCCTGCTCTGAGGCAGGACGATGGAGCCTTTGAGGGATTAGTGAATTTGGTTCAGTGGCAATTTGGGTGGCCGCACTGGAAAATCAGCGCTTGTTTGCTAACAAGCTTAATCCCTTTTCTCTATGAACAATGGAGACTAAGTGTGTCAAAAGTTTTTCCTGAATTCTAGCTCGGTGCGTCTAGGGCCTAATGGAATGAAGCAACAGAGCTCATACCTTGAGCCGTCGATAGCAGCAAGAATGCCAATACTGGCAACATCTTTTTCATTATGTGTTAAGTCTGAAAAAACAGCAACGCAATTACAAATAATGAAAGAAATTGACCTAAATTGTATGACAAACATGAATAATTTATTCGATTACGTATCCAAAAGAAGCACTTTAGAGCGTTCAAATCGTTATGATTTTAAAAATTTATGATAATTATTTCACTTAAGGTCATTTAGCCAACGCCCTGAAATTTTTATATCACAACATAATTGCTTAAATGAACTCTTTTTGTTACGTTTATGAGTATTTGCTTCTGCAGTATCAAAATATCTGGATTTTAGATAAGAATTAAAGTACAAAATGTCAACGAGCTCTTTTACTCCTTGAACAAGAAACGTATCTTTGAATCAATGGGATAAACAGCCTAAAAATAGCATTGTGTAAGCTTCGTAATTATATTTTTTCATGTATTTACAAAGAAGAAAGTTTGAATTGAAGTGGCTTACCAGGGCAGTGTGCCATTGGAGAGTTTTCTTGGGCTTTAAGCCAAACATATTACCACAGACGTTGGAATCGGGGACACAGGGTGATATGTCCCCACTTTTCAAAAAACAGAAGCAAAGTGTCTATTTGCAGCTGCTGGAGGTGCCCCTTTTGTGCCCACATGTGCCCCCCCCCCCCCCCCCCCCCCCCCCCCACTTTTGAAATGTTCATGCATATTGCACACATATTACATTTTTCCTTCAAGTTTAATACACGACCAACGAAACAAGAAAATCTGCAGCTTCTATAATAATTTACACTAAGACAAGCACTAAAGCGATGAAATTTCCTATAAATCAAGAAATCAAAATATAGGATACAAAGAAAAATTTATTTCAAGACGTGTATCACCCCTGTTGGCTAGGAAGCTACACGGTCTGATCGTGAAAGGCTACTCAAGTCGACGAAGGGGTAAAAAAACTCCTTGAGCAAAGGGAGTTTGCTTATTTGCACAAACATATTTCCATTTATCATTATGAGCAGTTCTAATGCTATCAACTTAGTCAATTATGAATAATAAAAAAACTGAAGAACTTATTGCTTATTAGTTGTTCTGCATTAAGGGAACTGTCCCCTTGCCCTTCCTCTAAAGGATAGGATACCTTCAGCCAATATGCAAAGTTTTCCGTAAAAATGATAGCGTGGTATGAACAGCTATGTCTCAAAATTAACGGACCCCTTCACGATCAAAAAAACCTTAAAGAAGAACTATCGAAGCCATTATGTTTAAGAAAGGAATGACTTTAACTTACCGTATCAAGCATACGCTTTAGGTCGTCTACTTCGTGTGATTTTCTAAGTCGAAGACATTAAAGTCTTTAATTCATCTACCGAGAGGTTATATTTGAGCGTCTCACGGTCAATTAATAACACAATTAAGGTACAATAATTTACCACTTAGGCTGCCTCATTAAAATACTCTCTTTGTTTTTACATCTTTATCCAAACTTTTTCACTCCAACAAAAAGCAAATAACATGTCCTTAAATGGTGTACACTTCTACACCTATTGATGGAACAACACCGTGGAGTTTAAGTGACATGCTCAAGAACACAGATATAATTTGAGAGAGCACAGTAAGTTTGGAATGAACGTGCAAGTAAACGTTTGTGCCGAGGTTAGTTTTACTCTAGATTAGAAACTCGTTAAGAATAGGCAAAGGCTATTCATTTGTAAAGCCTATAGGCATTTTTTGGCTAGCTACTAACCCATCCCTTTCTTTTTCACGTTGTTCACATAGACATGTCTATTCACTTTTAAAAACATGAAGAAAATCCCGCCCATCTACCGAAATAATTTAAAGACAAAACAATCATGTCAAAAGATATCATAATGTAAATAGCAACTTTCTGTGCAGAGTTTGGAGGTAATTTTTAAGTTTGTTCTTAAAGAAACAGATGACATTGAAGTCAAAAGAATTCGCTACGAATGAGCATTGATGCAATAAAAAGTTTCCCAGGACACTTTACCCGCAAGATATTTTAATGGTAACTTAACTAGAGCATAAAAATAAATTGCGGTTGAATGCTGTGTGAACTGGCATTTTGGACAAAGAGCAAGCAGAATGACTATATATGGATCGCAAGCTTTGATGACGTCAGATCCAAATTAAGATGGCATCCGATAACCTCGGAAGAAGCTTGGTTACAGCAACAATGAACCTTCAGCATGACAATTCAACCAGGCTTGATATATGCCAAGTAAAGGACTTGAGTACTGTTTTTGGAGGAAGCCCTGATAACATCTTAATCCTAACGAGCAAAAATAAAAAACTTTTGAGACCCACCTGCCAGAAAACCAGGACTGGAACTTAAAAAAGCTATTCGACAATAAGAGAAGACTTTTCATAACATGTGTTCCATTACCTTCGAGATTGTAAACTACAATTTATTTGGATAATTTCACTAACAGTATCATAACAGTGATAACAGAAAAGGAAAAATTGTCCCCACCCGAAATATTTTCAACAAAGTTCAGATAGCCTGATGATAAATACATTAAAAAGACCAAGAAAAATATGTCCTATGCAAAGTCTAAACGGTAAACATCAAAAACACATTTACTTATTCTTTGAATTCATTTAATGAAGTGTCGTTTTGATTGAATATGTCGTTTTAAACTTGGACTGGCAAGTTTTTTCTCTATAAGGTTGGATAGGTTTTTCTTCTCAAGTTATGTTTCAATTGCATACAAAATAACATAAACAAAATACTCAAATGAACGTGTTTCATAAGTTCAAAGTGTACAATGATATGTGTAATAAGATATTTACTTAAACGAATCGTCGATAATAATCAAAGCCCAGAAATAATAGCGGTCACACTTTAAACAACCGTAAGAAGGCCAAAAAGAATAGCAACTGAGGGCCATACCCCAACTTTACATTAATTCAGTTGTATTACTGAGAAAGTTTCTATGGGCTTAAGGTTTTGTTCAAAGGAAAGATGGGAACTTTTCTGGGCTCTGTTATCAACAGAGAATTAGGGATACCTATATTACAGTTAAAGTAGAAATCGATATCTATATTACAAGTGACTTCCCTTAAACGCTGCTTAACACAAATTCGGGAGATATCCTTGAAAAAATATACTCATAAATAGGACACATAATTAAGTTAAATCATCGAAAATAAAAAATACGATCGAGACTCTAAAGTACTGCTTGCACAATTACGCCTCTTTAAATCTTACTGAATTCAAACAAGATTCAGGTAGAGGCGTAGCTAGCAGAAGGGATGTAGGGGTTGTGACACTTCAATGAATTGGTCAGTTCATAGTCAATAGATTGACTATAGTCAGTTAGATCTTATTTCGGTAGTCGAAACAGAACTTAAATATTTCTTCTTCTATGTCTTCATCATTAAATTTAGCGATGAAGACAGACTGATGACTCTCCATCCCTAGTCTGGAAGGTCAAACTACGCCACTGGATTCAGGGCAACATACGTTTTAGTTTACCAAAGACTGCCATAAAAATCCGTACTGAAATCTGTCTCATATATTTTTGCTAGGTTATATAAATATTCAAGGTTAATGATGGCTTCCTCCAGCAATAGTTGATGCTTCTTTTTTCATACTGCATCCATCGTTAGGTAATAACCAGCAATGGGATCGGAAAGGAATTACAATTAGGCGAATCGTGTTTGAATTGGGACAAAAAAGAAGTTGATTCTTATTGGTCCAGATCGCAACTCGTTATTCCATTGGCAGGTTACTTCAACCAATCAGATTCATTATCATAAAATCATGCAAAAAGTCACAAGTTCACGGAAATTTGTGCGGTACTTCGCAGCTTTTGGCGCAGGCTTTTCAAAGATCATTCCAGAAACATGATGAATAGTATAATCTGGTACTAGCCTGTAGCCTCCAGATTCAACCGTTTAATGCTAGTGTGTTTCCGTATTAAGCTAGTTTCAAGCAAAATACGAGTTTATAATATATACATACAGTCTCAGTTCACACCAACTATCGGATGTGCCAGATACCAAGTCCTTTCACTCAGCACTGTATGCTGTTATGTCTGCGTGCCTCGGTTACCTTTCAAACGACTGCATCTTGGGGGCTTGTGTCTCCTGAATTTTCCAAAGTTGCATTCCCTGCAGTTTCCTTTGGGATATCTTTCTCCACTTTTTCCTTAGCTGCATCAGATGCTTCTTCCAGAATCGCAACGACAGGCTCCGAATTGACACCAGCTTAAAAAAAATAACAAAATCAAATCCCACCATAACTAGTGCAAGGGCAATTACTTCGTTAGGGCTTCTACAAAAACCTTAAGAGATACCCTAAAATGTATTCTGATATCTATACTGGTTAATGCGTGACAAAAGCTCTTGCAACACCCAAACATACTAGAAATAACATTTACCTCTAATGATACCAACCATCCTATTCAACCCCTCCCCTCTCCTGAAACAGTATCAATAGCAAGTTTAATCTCGTGTATAGAAAAACCTATGGATTAAATACAACACTAGAAATTCTACTTGTGCTCATCTGCTACTCGGAATTGATGGATGTGTCTAATAAAAGGTATAAGAAAAATACTGCCACCGTTTCAGTGGGAAGTACATGAAAAAGCAACTTGATAGACAAATACACAGTTACCAGTGTTTGCTGAAGGTGAATCAATATTTTCGTCAAGAAATGGCTGCCCTGCACCTTCATCAACCATCTCCACCTGAACTTCTTTGTTACCAAAACTAGAATGCATATTAATTCGTTAGAAATTCTACAATGCGTCTTAATTCATTAGAGATTCTACAAACATATTAAAGCTAAAAACATAAGAAATAGATGCAGAAAAACAAACAGAAAACTAGAATATATCAAATATAATCAAATCCCAAAATGAACCCATCAATGGAAGTAGTGTTTAGAGCAGCAAAAATACAGGGACAAGAACGTAGTCTTGAAGGTTTTAAACTGATTCTATGCTACCTATTTCCAATATGCGACTGAATATGATAAAAAATCAATTTAACCAAGAGGGCAACATGAGTATAGAATACGAGTGATAATGAGTATAAATGCGATGATCATTATATAATATGATAATGAGGATTATATAATTTTATATAATGAGTATTAATTTTGACGTATAATGCAATAACATTGATTCAAGTATTTACAAAAACTTTGATAGCAAGAGAAAGATATTCTTGTATAGGCGTAAACATTTGTATTGAGAAACTCAAAGCTAACACCCTATCCATAGAACCATCCTCACATCTTGTGCCACTGAAAATATCCATGTAAGGAAGAAGGCAGTTAGGTTTTTGAATACTGGATAAACATTATTCAAATCTATCCAAGGGTCTGGAGTTCGATTCCCTAACATGAAAATTCACTTAGTGTTAGGGTCATCGCTAGCTCTAATTCCAGGTGTAGGAATCATGAGGTGTGGTCACAGCGAGAAGAAGGAGAAGTACATTGTTTGAAAGGCCTGATTTATCAGTATTCCAGTGACTACAATTCGATGCTGGTTAGCAACAAATGCGGATAACACATCACAAAATATTATTTACTGTCTAGTGGCAAAGTCTACCATAATTGTGCTAACTACCTTTTACGCTTTCTAATAATTATGACTGCAAGTATCGCCACAATCACAAGAAGCAAACTGGCTCCGACACTGCCACCAACCACGTAAGCAGAAGACTTTCTCTGAAAAAAGTTCAGCTGAAAGATTTAATATTCTAAGAATCAGAATAGCGAAACATTTAACAGTGCAAAAATATACACAAAATTATGGAAAACTTGAGAATTACAGCAAAACAGAGCCACAAGGAAATTTGTATTATGTTACCTTTCATGCTAGCCCTGCTCAGAGCTTTCATGCTGCCTAAAAACGAGCTTTTAGCATTTTGGGCTTTTGAAATGATCAAAACCTAATGTAGGTCAATAGGCTTAAAAAATTGTTGCAGGCCTAGCTCACTAGGTCAATAGATATAAAAATAATTAGAAATGAATTTTGAAATCAACTTTGAAAACACCATCTACATCTATTCTTACATTCTTACATTTGAAAGAAACATACCTTTGATGGTGTTGGTGGTACTGTTGTTGTTGGTGGCAGGTATGGAGGTGGAGGTGGACAAACAAGTGGGGAATGATGTGAGACAACAGGAACATCATCTAAAGAAACACAAAGCAAATCTTTTACAAAGAGGGCATGTAAAGGGCCTTAGAGGCATGAAAGCAACAACAAGGCTCTTGCTTCCACCAGTATTCATGGTCTTTGTCCATGGGAAGAAGTAGTAATGACTCAATTGTTATGCCCACTTGAAAGATTATTGGCTTCAGTTTCTTTGGACCAAAACAGATAGATGTCATGACAAGCTCAAAATGTCTCAAAGATGTCATGACAAACTTCCTATAAACTGAAGTTATAGCCAAGGGTATCTGAAAAAGAAATATATTCAACTTCTTTCGAATGTAGCATCTTAATTGGAAAACTTTTTGAGACAACTCAAGTTTAATTCATTTAAAGATAAACAAACAAATGTGCCATAATTTTTCACATTCCTCTTCTCTCCAGACCCAAAGGAATTCATCCCCTGCCTCTCAATCAGCAGACCAATTACAACTAGCTAGCTTAACTATAATACATTGTTGCTGAATAGGACTCGCAATTTTGTACATGAGAAAGAGCAAAAATGTCTAAGCATGCATAGGTATAACTGAAGAAAATGGGTTTGTGTGACTTAAGCCCCAAATAATTTTCAAAGTTGTACTGACAATTCTTTTCAAATCTTGCTTTTGGCCTTTAGTTATATAGCCTCTCCCGTTTAAACCAAGCCCGAATCTTTAATGTGCTCTGTGGTCCTTGAGCAGGCATTCGAACTTTTTAATGCACACAGAATTATTTGGTGTGCACAACCTGGCATAATATATGAACACTAAAAAGAGATATGAGAACCCATTACCAAATGTCTTACAAAATAATGTTTAATATATCACATAAACATTAGATATACCAAAGAGGAATCCAAACATTTTAATCCATGCATGCAAGTGCATCACATAAGGAAAGTCAGACACATACCATTATAAGTACCATTGATCCGTAAAACGATGCAAGATGCCAGTTTAGTAGTGTTCTTAGCACGGCTCTTGCAAATTATCTCTATTTTCAAAAGTTTTCCATTTAGAACATCCCACTCTGATTGGTTTGATGGTATAAACTAGGCAAAAGCAAAACTTAAAAAAGGTTCATTAAAACATTATTCATTATTTAAAACATTATTATACATAATTTAAAGTTTTGCAACCTAGTGCACTGGTTCCTTTCGACCTCAGTTTTCAAGAATGACTACACACAAATCAGTCCGACATAGCCATCATCAATTAAACATTTTGGCTCTAGCTAAATTCATCTTCAGTAAAACTTTAAAAAAGCAACAGTTAGGGGTTCATGTATGGAAGAATAAAAGAATATGGATCATAAATCATGTGACTTGGCAGTAGGTGATAGAAGCAATCAGGATGTGAAGGACAACTAAGAAGAGTCAACAACAAAAATAATATTGAAAAAAGTGAATGTTTTTACCTTTAAATAATGATTGAATGAGCCAATGTTGCTGTTAAAAATCATTGAAATATCCATTGTCTCTAAGCAACTGTTTTCAAAAATAAGTCTTTCTTTCCCAAATTTGGTCAAATAATATATCCTTCTTGGAAAGCACCAGGTGTCCCTTAAGCTGAGGATGTTTGACAAGGATCTGTTATTACTGCTTAATTTAAGATATGTGCCACTTTGATTAAGTTGCAAGGGGCCAGTAATAGTTGGAATTCTGCTGGCACCAAATGATGTCATATAGAACATACAGCCTTTTCCTAAAAAGAGAAATGGTGCATACAGTTTTAAAGGAAATACATTTCTCTAAATATATTTCTTTAATTTATTTTTCTAAATTCCAGGCTGCAATCCAATTTCACCCATTAGATCATGTGCCATTGAAATACATGACTTGCTAAATGAATATTTACTAATGGATAGGTACAATTTCAGGTATCAAGTATCAAAAGAGGTGGACAATAAAGAGCACCAAAAATATTGTTCTTCCTATGCAGGGACTGTATAGCATATTACAGACATAGGGGCGACCACCTAGTAACCAAGAGTAAGCCATTTAGCACATGGTTTATAATGTTTTCAGGGAACTATTAATCGCCTGGCAAAGCTATAGCTTGCCTGCACATTTTAAAAATTGGGGAAGTCCTAAAAGTATGTGTAATCACACTAATTTGCCTGTATCCATTTCTACTACACATTTTTTCTATAAGAAAGTTTTTTTCAGCCCAGCCCTCAGACTTTCTTAGCTATTTCCTAATTTCAGCACTGAAACTTTCTTAACACTTCCTTAACATAAAATTGAAAAGTTTTTTGCTACTAAGCATAATGGAGGAGATGAAATGCTATAAATATGCTATATCTCTCAAAAAACCCTCAACGTTATACTGTATTTGTCGTTTCCTGTTCAATACATTACTGTATTGTTGAAATATTTCACTCTTACACCACAATTTCCTTTGAAACTTTAAATATCTAAATTTTCAACTTTCTTAGGTTTCCAAGATCCAGCCCTGAACTTTCTTAACTTTTTGAAGAACCGTGCACAACTTTCTTATAGAGTACTTTCTTATAAAAAAACGTTTACGGGATTTTTAGGACATCTTACTTATTTTGCAATCGTTTATTTTGGGCACAATTGCTTCAAACCAGTGGCGGAGTTGAGGGGGGGCAACTAGGGGCAGTTGCCCCTCCCTCAACGAGTTTTAGCAAGTCTGGCGCCCCTTTTTTGGAAATTTTGGGCCCCTGTGTTTAGTCTGAAAAGGTATCTGAAATTGTTGTATACAGCGTACTCTCGTAACTAATTTTTCAGCGCCCCCACTACCAACTGCCCCTCCTTCAAATTTGCTTTGGACCCGCCCCTGCTTCAAACTGAATACAATTATTCGTAAAAAAAGGTTCTTTGCAAAGATGCCAATAGAACGACAACATTTCTCGTTCAATATGAGCAAACTAGGTACAGGTATTACTGTTCAATAACAAGCTTTCAATTTATAGTAGTCTACAACCACGAGTAGGGCCAGGCATGAGAATATGGAGAAAAACGCACCTCCCATTTTGGTTTTTTCATTTGCTTCATAGCCTGTAGTGCACCCATAAAGAAGTGAATACAACAAATTCTTGTTTCCTTTGCATTCGCAGGAACAGCAATGGGGAATCTGTGCAGACGAGAATGGTTGGTAACAGTACCCTCTCAAGCTTGCACAGGTCCTCGCGCGAAAGCAACCTCCAGGATTCGTAAAGACATCAAATGCAGTTGTGATGTTGCTCGTTGACTGAAGGCGTCTTTCAATTATGAAATTTGAAGAATATACCTTCAAAACAATCTCTGATACAATTATAAATGAGAAAAAATAACTTGCATCGCGAGACATTCTCGCTTCCATCCTCCATTAATTCCCGCCCACAGCTGAGGAAAACAACTGCAACAGCAATAACAGATTTTTACACTCCTCACTCTGCGGGCAAAATCAATTGAGGTTTGAATGGTAGGGGTGTAAAATGGACAGAAATAAATTACATTGATACTGAAACATACTATTTCCAGAAGGCAAGAATAATTCAGAAAAACGGCTCATAGAGAATCAAATTTATTAGAAAATTTTGGAAATTTTACTACTTTGTCCGAATTCGTAGAAAAATAAAATTAAACCCCCTCCACTGCGTTCCTGAGTGAGAGAAATAAAGTCGCTGCATGAATATGGATGGTTACTGTTTTTGACTCGTACACTTAGCCACTGTTCAAATTGCAAGAAAGAGCTCTAAGAGCAATGTCACATCAATCTTATCTAGCTCACTCTCTTAAAATGATTCTATTAACCTTTGTTTTTGCTTTCATAACTACTTCTTCCCAAGTTCATCAGTACACCAACGTAACTGAAGACAATCCACAAGAGAGATCAGTACATAGGAGCAAAACTATAGTCGACTCTCATGATTGTTGCTTTTGCTACTCGTTTCGTTGTGTTTAAATTCTTTGGCCATCACGCCTGCCATATTTTCATAACAAAATAGATGGGACTCTCTCCTTGATTAGTTCATCAATTGATTGTTGGGGAGACGAGCAAGAGAAAGTTTTTTAAAAAGTGAGGCAACCCTCCGTCATGGAGTCAAAGAGCATGCGCACAGAACGAAGTTATTATTACGCATGCTCTCTGAATCCAGGACGGAGGGTTGCCTCACCCATTTGAAGACTTTCGCTCGCTCGTCTCCCCAACAATTGAGTGAGTTCCTCTACAATAAATTCCCCATATCACAATGCAAAGTTAGTTGCCATAGCAAAAACATGTACTCTATTCATTTGATGATATTGTAGTAATTTATGCTATCATGTATCATGGATAATTTTGAAATGAAAATAGAAAATGGCGAACACACGATTTTTTCTAACTGTTAATTTATTCGTTATTGTGCTGCTATTCCACAAATTGCTATCCTTCACTCCTCATGCATACATTGCAAAAGAAGCATGGAAAGAGGATGAAGCTCCGTTGAGTTTCAGCATTGAACCTGCTGTGACAAAACACTTAGGCCTAAGGCCTAATGAGAAGCCCAGGTAACCAAACAAAAGGGATTTTTTGGAGCAAGGATAGCTCACTATGCATCAAAAGGCTGTTCTACGTACCAAGTACTCACTGATGGCTCAATTAGCTTGATTCTGGCTGATGATATTCAAACAAATCCAGGGCCAATAAAACATCCATTTTCTGTATGCCAAAAAGCAGTTGCAAAAAATCATCGAGCCCTGAGCTGTGATAGCTGTGAACTCTGGTGCCACATAAAATGTGGAAATGTCAGCCCAGCTCAATACAAACAGCTTCAACTAACAACTAACATATCTTGGAACTGCAAAGCTTGTATATGGAGACTTGACCTGAATGCTCTGCCGATTATCAACGGGCCTAAAACACCACCTGATCATAACTGACTCACTCCCGAGGAGACAGTGGACCCTCAGCAAAACGCAGTTGACCTTCTCCAAGCTACTTTTAGAAGATATGACGGAAACATGAAAATAGCTCATATTGATATGCAGTCATTGCTACCATCAAAACACATAGTTGAGCATGAAGCCACAAGAAAGCCCCAATAAAGAGCCTATTGAGATAACATCATCTTACCACCTTAGTCAGGTAATCTTTGAGGCAACAAGGGTAAGTGCAGAAGCACAAACCGCTGATCTTTAAAACACATTACTTGAAGTCATACCAACTAACCAAGAGATCTTGTTGGTTGGGGATTTAATGCTAACTTCTTGAAGCCACAAGAAAGCCCCAATAAAGAGCCTATTGAGATAATATCATCTTACCACCTTAGTCAGGTTATCTCTGAGGCAACAAGGGTAACTGCAGAAGCACAAACCGCTGATCTTTAAAACACCTTACTTGAAGTCATATCAACTAACCAAGAGATATTGTTGGTTGGGGATTTAACTATAACTTCTTGAAGCCACAAGAAAGCCCCAATAAAGAGCTTATTGAGATAATATCATCTTACCACCTTAGTCAGGTTATCTTTGAGGCAACAAGGGTAACTGCAGAAGCACAAACCGCTGATCTTTAAAACACATTACTTGAAGTCATACCAACTAACCAAGAGATATTGTTGGTTGGGGATTTAACTATAACTTCTTGAAGCCACAAGAAAGCCCCAATAAAGAGCTTATTGAGATAATATCATCTTACCACCTTAGTCAGGTTATCTCTGAGGCAACAAGGGTAACTGCAGAAGCACAAACCGCTGATCTTTAAAACACCTTACTTGAAGTCATATCAACTAACCAAGAGATATTGTTGGTTGGGGATTTAACTATAACTTCTTGAAGCCACAAGAAAGCCCCAATAAAGAGCTTATTGAGATAATATCATCTTACCACCTTAGTCAGGTTATCTCTGAGGCAACAAGGGTAACTGCAGAAGCACAAACCGCTGATCTTTAAAACACCTTACTTGAAGTCATATAAACTAACCAAGAGATCTTGTTGGTTGGGGATTTAACTATAACTTCTTGAAGCCACAAGAAAGCCCCAATAAAGAGCCTATTGAGATAATATCATCTTACCACCTTAGTCACGTTATCTCTGAGGCAACAAGGGTAACTGCAGAAGCACAAACCGCTGATCTTTAAAACACCTTACTTGAAGTCATGCCAACTAACCAAGAGATCTTGTTGGTTGGGGATTTAACTATAACTTCTTGAAGCCACAAGAAAGCCCCAATAAAGAGCCTATTGAGATAATATCGATTCTTAACCACCTTAGCAAGGTAATTCTCTGAGGCAACAAGGGTAACTGCAGAAGCACAAAACCGCTGAATCTTTTAAAAACACCTTACTATTGAGCTCATAGTCAACTTAACACAAGAGATTATTGTTTGGTTGGGATTTAACTATATAACTTCTTGAAGCCACAGAAAGCCGCCAATAAGAAGTCTTTGAGATAATATATCTTATCACCTTAGTCAGGTACATCTCTTGAGCACAAGGGTTAATGCTGCAGAAACACAAACCGTGATCTTAAAAACCACATTACTTGAAGTCATACCAATAACCAGATGAAGATATGTAGGTTGGGGATTTAATCATAATTCTTTGAAGCCACAAGAAAGCCCCAATAAAGAGCCTATGAGATAATACATCTTAACCACTGTAGTCCAGTTTTCTCTTCTGAGGAAACAAGGGTACTGCAGAAAGCACACCCAGCTGATCTTTAAACACCATTACTGAAGTCATACCAATAAAAGAAACGAGTATTTGTTGGTTGGGGATTTAATGATAACTTCTTGAGCACCTAAAAAGCACCGAAAAGAGCTTATGTGGATACGATATATAACTGCCCTAGGATTAGTCAGGTAAATTCTCCGCGTATGATCGAAGGCTGTAAAAGAGGGCTGGCAAGTATATTCAAAGCCGCTGATACTTGTCTAATGACCATCCTTACCTGAAGTCAGTGTAACCCACACACCAAGATAGGCTTGTATCTTGCGCTCTCGAATTTTCATTATATCGAAACACTCGCTCACGCGATCAAGTATAGTTAGAACGCCCATATCTCAAGAGCTTATTGAGATAACACATCCGGGAGCTGTCGCGCTCTCTGTGAAACGGTCATGGTTAATTACGTGCTAGGCAAGTCATGAGAGTTTACGGCAGAAGCACAAATCCCGCTGAATCGGAGTTCATAAATCACCGACACCTTAATTATGCTATAAGCTAGCTACCGAACTAACCAATAATCTGTGTTTTGGTATATGTGTGTGAATGTATTTATATTAGCAGGAGACTGATTAGGTCAACGACAAGCCGCCGAATTAAGAGAATACAAGGGTACCATTCAGACAAGCAAACCGCGCATCACTTGAAGAACGCTACACTTAAGTCTGCTGTAGCTATCAACTACCTAGAGCAGTCTTGTTGGTTGGGATTTAAGTTCATATATATGCTTCTTGCCAGAAGATAACGCACCACACACGCACGAACACCGGCTAGATTTAAATAGAGCACCAGGCTTGAGGGCACGATAGTACTATTAATTACAAGCCTTAAGTCAGGTAATCTCTGAGGCCACAAGGTAAATGCAGAAAACAAACCCTTGGTTGATTTTGATTTTAAGACACCCCCCCTGAACACAATCAAATCAGGAGTATATCACTCTTCTATAAGTATCATTCATTGGTATACTGCCAAAAGAAAGTGTCCCAGGCCAAGCACCCATTACAAACAGTGGATCTTACA